CCTCAATTCCCAGGCACCAGCACGTGTAAAACCCTGCGAGAAACCAGGGGTTTGCACGGGAAAGCACAAAACGCAGCCGGCGCAGAGCACAGGGGGCTCGCGCGGCCTTTCCCTCCGCAGGGACCCACGAGCGGCGCCGAGGGCACCGCGCACAGCGCGCTGCTTGACGCCCCTGCTCGGCGTTCGCTCCCCAGCTTTTAGGGCCTCTCTTCCTTCCCCTCTGCCCCGCTCACCACGCATGAGGGGCTGCACAATTGCTGCGGCGGGAAGGCAGCCGCAGCACCGCATCCAGGTTAGGGGGGAGGACACGGCGCCGTCTTCGCGGGAGAGTTAAGGTGGGAGAAAAGGGAAAGAAAAACAAGAGAAAGAAAGAAAAAGGGAGGGAAGAGGAGCCGAGCGAGGCGGGCTCCGCAGCGCCGGGGCTGGGCGCTCCGCGCACCGGCGACAAGGGAGGACCGGGCAGGGCTCACAGCGGCCTCACGGTCCCGTGGAGAGCCGGTAACCACCGCCCTCTCCCGCCCGGTACCGCGGAACGAACCGCCCGGACTTGAGCGAACCGCCCCCCCCGCCTCGGCCCACAAAGCGGCAGCGGCGGGAAGAGGCCGGGGCCGCACTTACTTCCTCTGGGCCTTGTCCTTCTTGGCTTTGGTCCGTTTCTTCCGGGCCTGCAGCGCCAGCACTAAAGGGTCAGAACGGGAAAAAAACCGTGAGGGAAGCGGCGAGGGCAGGGCGACGGCGCGAGCGCGCGCGGGGGGACACGCACCTTTCCGCTCCATGGCCTCCAGCGCCGGCAGCCCCGGCTGCCCCTCGCGCCTGCGCGCTGCGCCCGCCCCGGGCCGCGCCGCACGGAGCATGCGCGCCTTGGGCAGCTTGGCGCGGCGCGGCGCGCGCCACCAGGCGGCCGCGCGCTCCCCGCGGCGCTTGTGGCGAGCCCCGCCCCCGCCCCCCCCGCTGCTGCTGCTGCTGCTGCAGCTACTGCCGCTGCTGCTGGAGCCGGAGCTGCTGGAGGCGGTGCCGCCCGGCGAGGCCCCGCCCCCCCGCTGTTGGCCCCGCCCCCGCCGGCCCGGCCCCGCCTCCAGCGCGGCGGCCGCCATGGTGCGCAGCGCGCAGGCGCGACGAGCGCGCGCGTGTCCGCTCTGAGGCGTTCGGCGCCGCGCGCGCCGCCTTGTGACGTCAGCGCGGCGGGGCGGGTCCCACCCGAGGCGCTCCGCTCCCGGGCCGCGCTCCCGGACCGCCCCCGCCGAGTCCCCCCCCCCGGGGGGGTGTCGCGCGGCTCCCCCCTGCTCTGTAAATAAATGTGGCGCTGAAGGGATGCGTCACTGTGCTCCCTTTAATGGCATGAAATATCCAGGGCAGTCAGGCCCTAAATAAACTTCAATTTAATGGAGGTCTTGAAGTGTTTCATGTTATATATTCATGTGTGAATAGGTGCTAGAGGGAGCAATGGGGGGCGGGTTACAGGAGCTATCAGGGGTTTTGTGGTGGGTATTTGATGTCTGGAGGAGCTATGGGGCATCCTAGGGGGGATTTGGGGTTTGAGGAGGGGTTATGAGGATTCAGGAGGGGCTATAGGAGGGTGTATGGGGCTATGGAAAGTAAGTGTGTGTGTGTGTGTATATACACAAGTGTATATGTGTGTGTRTATATATATGTATATAATGTAAAACATTTAACTTCCAGCCTCTGGGGCAATTTAAGCATCCTGCTGCAAGTGCGAGGCCGTCCCCGCGCTCACAAAGGCGCCCTTGTATCAGCGCCGGTGCGCGGCAGCCCCGTGCGTGCTGCTGCTGAGCGGCACTTGGGTGCCCGGCCTGGGCTCCGGGCCATGTCCCACCGGCAGTGCACCGTGCCGGGCGTCCCGCTCCCAGCACAGGGAGGCACTGATACCCGGCCAGGAAAGGAGGCGCCGCGGGGCCTTCTCCAAGGAGATGCTTGGGAATGTTGGCGCAACACAGCGGGGCAGGGGCAGCCCCSCAGCGTGACCCTTCCTTACACCATCACTGTGTCCAAACTAAGGCCGGGCTGAATCGCTTTAAGCACGATGGAGTCTCTCTTTTGTTAGTACCGACTGTGCAGCAAAGCCTGCAAGGAAATTCCACAGAGAAGTCCCAATATGTTTRTACCGGCTGGAACAGGAGCTATTAAAATCTCAATGCATGGATGGCACAGTCATAGAATCATTATGGTCGGTAAAGACCTTCAAGATCCTTGAGTGCATCAGTACTGTGCCTKAATGGGATCTTTTGCCCTGTATTTGTGATAAATGACCCGGGCGAGGTCCGTTCACACCTGCCGTAGCCACAGCTCTGCTCCGAGCGGCTGTGCCCAGCCTGCAGCGAGGCCCTCGAGGGTCCTTCACGAGCACCTGAACGGGGAACCTCATGCAACAGCACAGTATGAGTGACCGACCGGTGGTACGAGCACCTTCCCACTCCCCAAGTGCTTCCAGGACTTTCCTGATCTGTGACAGAAAAACAAGAGGTGGAAGCAGCACCCCTGGAGGTGACCTCGGGCTGGGACGGCCTGGTCTTTCCACCACAGCCTGGCACTCCTTGCTAAAGAGGACAAATGTCCCCTAGCTGTGCCCACGTGTAACCGGTTTATCTCGTCCTCCTCCACAGCTCCCCGAGCAGTGTGACACACCACAGCAAGAGCTGCTTCTGCCACTCTGGACAGAATCCAGAGTCCTGGGGTCCCTCTGCCACTTCACGGCCTTGGTAGCCACCATAAGCCAATGCAAAATATTCATAATGTTCATAAAATGACAASTGTGGGGTTTTTTTTGAGGGGGGGTTACATATACTTTGCATTCTGCAATTGCCGTTTCAGGACCGGGATCCTCTAACTCCATGCGCTGGGCGCGCTGGCTGGGCCTCTGCAGCATTCCCTGCTGTGGAACGTGGCCGGCGTTGCGYGAGCTGGAAGGGCACCAAGGAGCTGCGGGGCGCCCCAAACAACTGTCCTGGCTGCAAGCAGGTCAGGTGAGAACACCAAGCTGCCGGCAAACACATGATTACCGACGGGCCTTTGAACTTGCCTTCTCCCTCTGTGGAGGCAGAGGTGGAGTCCTCCGCCATGAAGTACATGCCCGGTCGAGAAGCTGTGCCGAGGGCCTTCGCTGGGCTGAACACAGCAGCCCCGTGCTCCTGTGCAGAATGCAGTCAACCCACCGCACAGCTACAAGGGAAAGAGATCGGGATTGTCTGGGCTTCCTCCCTGCGAGATATTTGTTTTGCAACATGAATACCCGTAATTTGAAAGCTAAAATACTGACATCGGAGTTGTCCCCTGGAGCTCAGCTGTGCACAGTCATGGGGGCGGGAAGGAAAGAGTCAGATCTTTGCTGAAGAAGCCTACAACAAAAAAATCCTCTCCAAAGCTGGCAATGGAGACTCATCACGATGCCAGGAGTGGGGAAAGCCACTGCAGCTTAAATCAAGGCTGCCATAGGGGAGCCAACAGATTGGGGCAATTAGAGGTATGCCTTGCATGGTTTTCATATTTATCGGTTTTGAACAGAGCTGAGAGGAGCTTGGCTTGAAGCCACTATCCAAAACAATGCAGGGAAGCACGTGTRGGTTTAGAACTACTCAATCCTATTTAAGCTTTCAGTTTTTCCTGTCTTTCARTCTAAAAGGTATGAGGGCTCTGGGACTCAGTTTCCTCCACGGTCAGCAACACGACCCAGACCGCTCACTAAAATAATTTACCATGGCAGTTTGCTCAGGCAGAACTGTGTCTTTCCTACAAAAAAAACGCTTGGAAACGGGAAGGGAAGGGAAGGGAAGGGAAGGGAAGGGAAGGGAAGGGAAGGGAAGGGAAGGGAAGGGAAGGGCTCATTGGAATACACTACAGATCATTTACTACTAATATTCCTACTAGCCATTGTATCCTTGCTAAAACTTAGCAGCCAGGAGCAGCAGAATTGGGAGGAGCCACCTTGCTGTTCCACATGGAGAAACCACAGGATGCCCAGCAGGAAAAGTYGGAGCTGTTCACAGGTTAAGGCAATTAGCCCAGAGCTCAGGAYCTGTTCATAAGGGACGCAGAACCCAAATGCAGTCTTTGCCGAAAGCGGGGGCTGAACAGCACCCAGACACAGTGCTGGCCACTCGTCTAGAATTAGTTTCACCCACAACTCTTCACACCAGGCAGTTGGAGCCATGGGATAATCCTCCAGATGAGGCCATGGCAAAGCCTTGTGAGGCATATTGCTCGTGTCATTAAAATTAAAAAGCTTATTTGAAAAATTAGAAATTAAAAGCTTCGACTCTCGGTGTAATCCTATGTCACACATCTGTGCTGGCACTACTGCTTCATCCTCTATGGCTGATCTAAAAAAAAAATTAAGCTGATTTTTTCCCCCCCAAGTTCTAAGTGTGTCTTGTTCTAATTTTCCTGGCTCTTCAGAATGAAGTGAATACTTTATTCTTCACTATTTCAGTAATGGACTAACATAAAATGAAAAAAAAAAAAAAGTAAAATGTTTACTAGGATTTAGTTATAGTCCATCAGGGAGGGACCAAGAGAAAAACACCTAGCAGACTGATGTTATGACAGTGCAGACAATATTGACTTCAAAGTGTGGAATATTAATAGGAAAATACTTTTCTGTAAAGCTTCACATAATTCTACATACAGCTGAAGATAATGAAGCTGCCAGCATGTAACCTTTTGAAAYGTGGCGGATGAGACATATTTACTAGCAAGCAATAAATATATAAATAAAGTGGTAAACGAGAGCATTTAAACTAAGATCTACAGACATTTGGAGAACAAGGGCAACTCATTTGATAATTCCAAGCATTACAGCTAATTCTATCTTGTACATTGACATTTTTCTGCTCTCTCCAGTGTTGCACGGCATATSTATTTGAAAGCGCTTCAAAGTAATAATATAAATGTTGCTTTTTGTTCAGAACAACAGAATGAATGGAGGCATTAGTCAAGCTGTCTCTCTGAAGAACCTGAAAAGACAAAATTAAAAAGAAAGAAAGAAAACAGAAAGGATGAGATGCTGGCAGGCACCACCTGAGCTGTTGCTAGTGGTACCTTTCTCCTCTCTACTGAAATTCCYGTCTTGAAGGCCTGTAGGTCAGGGGTTGCCGGGATACTTCCATCTCTCATCCCAGCCGGGGTTATGGAAGTCCAGCTGATGGCCCGGCGGCTCGTGCTGCTGGGCAGGACTTGGCTCCGCTTCATTCTGCGTTGAGCCGGAGATAACGGACACGGGCTCGTCGCGCAGAAAGTCATTGTCAGAGCTCTTCCCGGAGGGACCATCCTTGTTCTTCTCCAAGAATGAGCTTCTCTCCTGGAATGCACACGGACGTTACTGGAGGCCGAGGGGGGCCCATCTGCTGGGGAGGCCAAGGCGGTTCCTGCCAGGGCAGGGCGCTGTGAGCGGCTGTGCCGGCCTCGGATCCCGAATCTGCCGCCGCCGGAGCGGGGCGCCCACCCGGCTCAGCTGCTTGCTCCCATCCGCACCCCTGGCTCCGCTCAAACCACCGTCCCTTCTGCCTGGAAGCTGCTCCTGAGGCTCCCCAGAGCCCCTACTCAAAGGAGCCTGGTGGATATGTATTACCACCTTCATCCTTATGAAGATTTTTCTACGGGGGAGACCCTTGGGAAGGTCGGTGAGCTTTAGACTAGGGCAAGACAGTGGCAAGATAAGGGAGTAAAAGCAGCTCTTCTGGGAGCAGCAGAACTCAAGAAACCACTTGCCTGCAGATTTGGATCTTTTTCCCCTTCATTTTCCCCTCTATAGGAGCCCAGCTGGGTTGTATGCAGAAGAGGATTAACAAAGGCTGTTTTTATTCCCTAGGTGGAGCAATTACTGGAATCTGGTACTCAAAAGAAGAAGCTTTTCCTGGAATTTGCAACTGTCCACTCTCTTGAAACTTGGCTGAGAGCACCAAAGAATTATTGTAGAGCTCTGGCACACAGAACGAGCATGTGCATAAGTTTCATTTCTTTAGGAAATCTGGCTAACAGTGTCCTTCATTTCTTCCATCAGCCCCAAGACAAATGCAACACAACTCAGTCTGATCACTCCTCCCAGCCTGAATACGGAGGTGCCTCCCTCAGACAGAAGCAAATGACTCAAAAAAATGGATTTGTTGGAATTATTATTTGGAACTATTATTTTGTATCTCCATTCATTTCAAACAGCCAAGTATGTATGATAATAATATAATTATGAATAATAATGTGATAGTATACCAGGGGAATTCAAAGAACATCTGCTCTGCCCTATCTCACCTTCCACACTGTACCCTTGTTAAGTTACTGATAGGACAGCTTAACAACAAGGTGCCTTAACTGTCAGCTAAAGTTCTACCTTCTGATGCTCAGCAAATGGTTCTTCATCAAACTCTCTCTCAATAGATCGATTGGCAAACTCGAGCTCCTCTTGCCTCTGCTGCTTCTCCAAAGCAGCCAGCACGGCATCATGCAGCGTCAGGAAGAACCTTTCCTTGGTGATACAGCTGTCAAAGAAATCGTTCTTCTCGAAGATTGCTATCACGGATACTGTGGGAAAGGGGGGAAATCAGCAAAGCGACTCAGGTCGCGCCAAGCCATATGGTTGAAACATTTCTCTGCAGTTTAAAACTCACCCTCAATAAGTCAGTATTAGTAAATGGATAATATACTCACAGTGACAGCTGGCTATTAGGACTGTAATACCAATATTGTGAAACATATAGAAGATCTGTGGAGAGAATTCCAGATTGGCATTAGCAATTTTGTCTTAATCAGGTGTGCCAGAAGTTAAGAAATAAATAAGAAAAAAAAAACCTCTGGAAATTCTGCATCTTTGGAGAATGCCCTTATTTCAAATCTCAAATTCTGCTTCTGAATTCAGCATTAAAGAGCCAAGATGTGCCAGATCCTGATGAATCCTGACTCCACAAGCCAGGGCAGGTCACAGATAGCTCCTCCTACGGCCACTGTGCAGCACCCGGGGGGATTTCTTAAACAAGAAGGTCTCATAGGAACAGGTGAATGGGAAATGATTCTTAATACATGTCACATGACATGTATTAATACATGTCATGCCCATGTGTGAACAAGGGGCTTAGGAACCTATTATTTTYGAACAGCTCCTGTAATTCTCTGGTTGCCTCAATTTTCACAACCAGCATTTTTAGATAGATCACCCTAGTCTTAAAGGAATCAGATTTTAGGTGGATAGATTCTCACCAGTCCCTAAATATCTAGCCCTTTGTAGTTAGAAGATCTGAATACCGTTACTAATCCAAAAGTCATTATTTGCTATTGAAAGTTCAGGCYAAAATGTACAGAGAATCACAGGATTTTTTAAAATCTGGGAGGGAGGAGCCTGGAAAGATTTTTGACCTCATCTCCCTTTCTCAAGGGGAAAGTTATTGAATGGATGGCAAATAATTCTTCAAGGCTTTTAGGGAGATCAGCCCAGCGCACAACTACTCCCAAGAAGTGTTAGTCCAATTTGTTATCTAGCAGAAACCTCCTGAAGTCTTGAAGCTGAGCTACAGTATCAGGGAGCTGAGTATGAATCCATCTGGAACTGCCTCCTTCCGAGAAGCACAGCTCCATGAGATTTATTTTTGCTAAATATATCTCCGTTGGCTACGATCCCCACGTGAAGACTAAGAAATTCAAGGCGCACTTCAGAGACAAGGCTAAGGAGGCAATCAGCAATAATAACAGATCGCTCTCAGGAAAGACAGCTGGTAGTTTTATATCTGATATTTCTAAGACAGAGGGAGTTTTTAAAGTGTCCAGTTAGAAGAAAAAAAAAATAAACTGCTAAAATCGGAAAAAAAAAAAACAAATTAGACATTTTTATAAATGTGTTTTTGCTTGTATGACTCTAGAATCAGTGACAATGCATGACAGGTTGTTCCATGTCCTTTGTATTGACAGTGAGGCTTCTAATTAAAAATAATAATAAAGAAAAGTGTGTTTTGGGGAGGAAAGCTATAAACTTCTGAAAGGCAGTAGGTAAATCTTGCACCTTTTAAGGTCACCTGGAAGATGTGCAAATCGTTACAATAACGGGGCACATTAGGCCAATGAGCAACATGATATCAGGTAAACTTCAGGCTTTGCACTTCCATGCATTTAAGTTGCTTACCTGCCGCAGTAAGTCCGAGGCTTGCAAATCCACAAATTGTACCATGCTGAAGTCTAAAATAATGGTATGGATTGGACACAGCAAACGTGTTCTCTGTTCTCTTTCCTCCTGCAGCAGCACTGAGGAATTCTCTACTGCCGAGCCCGATGAAGGGCAAGTTCCCTTCCCCTCGTCCTGGCTCTTCCCAGTCTCAAGCCCCGGTTTAGGGCCCGGGGTTGCAGGCTGTGCTTGGGTTGCTCCCACCAGGAGTATCCTGGAGCTGGGTCTGTCTCCGTACTTCGACCAATGCACCAGATTAAATGAAGATGATGAGGAATCACTGCCTGTTTGATGTCGCTTCACCAGTTTCTCTGTATACGGTATCTACAACGGAAAATGGAGAGTTAACCAGTGGTTGGAAGAACTGGGCCTAGGGGGCGAATTTTATTTATTTTTTTTTTTTGCTGCAAGTAAGACCATAAATCAGACGATACTCCTTCTCTCCTGGTAAAAACACCTCTGAAATAGCACTACATATAGCAAAAGAGCAGGCAAGGCAGGAGGTGACTCAGACAAGCCTCAGATGTGGTGAGCAGGATGCGTTCAGGGCCGACCTCACTCCTTCACACCTTCAAATGGCCTCCGATACTGGCACACTCCTGGTTACTTTTAATGTTCACGAGGGAAACAATGATAAAAGAGATTGCCCCTTGGCTTCATGCAACATCTCTTTTCACTGTAAGACTTTCTATTTTCCTTCTTCAAATTTTCAAGATATATTGCCTTTCTGAGCATCAGCAACAGACACTGACTGGCTAAGTTCTGCAGACCTCTGTGCCAAAATTTTCTTTCTACGGCAGCTGGTCACTGAGTGGAGAAGTTTAACTGATTATTGTTGTTGTTCTTAAGACTTTCAAATTTAAGCTTACACTGTTCTATCATGGAAAACAGGTGTGAAGAAATGCTTGCTTATTTTAAAACAGCAATATGTACGTATGCTTTATATAAATATTTGCAGCCGTTTACATTCTGACAAGTTAAGAACATTATTCTTAGCAACATAAAAACAGGCCCCTCAAACAAACAGACTAGATAAATATTTTTCTAAAGCTGACCCTAGGTGTTGGTTCAGGTTGATTGCAGACACAGGCACATTTAAAATCTTTTCCTTGCACTGTAGTGTCAGACAGACTAACTGAAATTAAAGCCCTCATTTCATTTTCATCAAGAGGCACTGCTTTCATGTCCATCTGAAAAAGAGAAACAGGTTTGGGGGGAGTTATATCTGCCTAATGCAGGATCTTAGAAACTTCYGCTGCCTGGGTAAAAAAAAAAAAAGCATTTACCTTGTTTAACAAGTAGCTTTTGAAGTGCTTCATATTTGCAAAAGAGATGGAAGAGCAGCACTGGAAGATTTTAACACCTTCAATCTCCATTGCCTGTAAACCAAAAGGCGGCTCTGTGAGGGCTCCTCCATCAGCTATTATCCTGGTCCCGCTCCAAGCACGGAATTGGTCCGTTCACACTTYGTGCTGGCAGTGCTATGGGGCTAATCAGCACAAACTGATCTACGCCTCTTGCAGTTAAAGACATCYCTTGCTTCCACCTCCCTTTGGAGCAGGTCTCGCACCCAGTGCCCACACGCTCTGTCCCTCCCTCCTGTCCCAGCGCCAGCAGCACCCGGGAGTCAGTCCAACATGCGCACGGCTGCTGTTGTGTTGCAAACGGGGACAAAACCCGCCTGGGAAGAGCGGCTCAGCAAAGCCAGGAGCAGGCAGAGCTCAGGCTCAGCAAAGCCAGGAGCAGGCAGAGCTCAGGCTCAGCAAAGCCAGGAGCAGGCAGAGCTCGGGCTCAGCAAAGCCAGGAGCAGGCAGAGCTCGGGTGTGAGGGCTCGGGTGTGAGCTCTGCCTGCCGAGCACACCAAGCCGGTGCTCAGCACCGCGGCGCCCTGCAACGCCCTTAGCTTAGACTGCAACGGTTTGAATCAAAGGCGTTGAGTCTAAATGGTCACCCCCAATCATCTGAGGAAAGAAGCTGGATTGCAGAGAGATAGAACTTTTTTGTTTGTTTGTTTCCTCTTACAGCTTTGTAGACGGATAAACTTCTATAAATATTCATGTTTGGAATCTGTCCCAGCACCACCATCTTCATCCTGAAACAAGACAGTTATTAGGTCCTTATAGGGAWCTGAGAAGAGCCATCTGTTCCTAAAAGCCTGATCTTCATTTCCCTCTTTTCTTCCAGATACACCAAYTGCAATTCCAGGGGCTGTGAATACAGAAAGCTATTTTACTCATAATTTGGGTTCTTTCAGTAGGGGCGTGGTATTTAAGCACACCCTTTGGGTACACTGCAAGCCATAAACTTCAATAGAAAGAGATTCCTCATTTATGAGAGACTCCAGAAGATCTGAAYGAAGTATTTACAGAAGCTGCTTTTCCATTTTCCCATGTAAAGCTACACATAAACACGAACTCTAAGAAAAATCAGTGTTTTGCTATAAAAATTACAAGTACCTGTGTGACCTCACAGTGATTACGAAGAAGGTGAAGCCCATGGAGATGGCTAAACCAACGTCAAGGCCAAGACAAAGGACTGCTGCAAAAGTCACGAGCCAAATAACCTTCAAACAAGAGACAGAGAGAACATTAACACTGAAAAGATGTGAAATGACCTCCAAGCTCAGCCCTAACTGTCAATCCCAGAGGTATAAATCCAGTGAAATTCCAGAATTTGGCAAGAATGAGGCAAATAACCAGGTGTAGCTGAACTAAACTACACTACGCTAAACTACTACACTAGCTAAAGACTAGTCTTTACTGAAAGAACTTCTGATGGTGGAACCCAAGGCACAGATGGAGAGGAGCGATTCCTGCCACGGTCAGCTGAATTAAGACACTTGCAGAAATGACAGAATCAGACCCAGCAGATTTTCTAACCTTCCAGCCATCAAGCAGAGTATTGGCTAAGCCTCCACAATCCTCACACTCTAGGACTATAAATCTGAGACAAAGCTCAAATTTCTAGCCTTTTTAAGAGGGAGAAGAATAGTCAGGAGAAACCGTATTATACTGGAGACCTTCCTCTTCACGAGGGAGAAATCCTGCACGAGTGCTTACAAGCAGCCCCAGCTGAGAGCTACAGCATTTCCTCCTCAGRGTATCTGAGAGCCAGGAGCAATGATCAGTTCTGCCTGAACTGAAGAAACAGCAAGYAGCTTTGCAGAGGTTTCAGTACAATTCTTTTGGTGAGTATTTCAAACAACCCCATTTCTAACGGAAAGGCTATGGTTTTGCTCTCCCCAAATGGGCCTTTGCACCTGTAAAGAACCTTCCAGTTCCTCAGTTGCTTTTTTTTTCAGTCACTTACTAAGTGATACTTATCCTGTCTCCAAAGGGTTGGGATATCCAGAAATTTTTCAAGGAATGGGAGCATGTTAACTACCACAATAGCAGCCAGTACAACCTGTGAAAAGCAGAAAATAATAGCATCTGTTACCTTAATTTTTTTTTCTTTGCAACATGCTCGACAACAGATAACCAAGCAGTGGTTCAACTGCTCRAGATTACAATCTTTTAATAGCTTTAGTTCCATAATTATTGTGGATGTATATAACAATTTTCCTCTGACCTGCAGACCAGCATGAAGCAAGGGTCTAACCTCATCTGATTTCACAATAATTTCCGCAAATACAACTGGGCTCCCTCTTGAAATGCTATGTGTAGTTTCCATTAGCGTTCCTCAGTGAATCCCTATGTCTCCTGCCACACTAGGAGAAAGGCCAAATTCATCTACAGAATTAAGAGCTGCTCTTTCAAAGGATGGTTTCAATTAACATGGGCAGCTCATAGCCAGACTGAGGAAGCTGCTTGACACTATTTGTTGAAACAGGCTTTTTTGGCAGGGAAAAGTAGACTGGTGGGAAGGAGATGGTTAAATTTTCTTTTGTCAGCCAACTTTGGGAAAGGGGTTTATTCTCCCATCTTACAAGGAGGCCAGAAAAAATCAGGAAGTAATGCTCTGTGACAGTGGTTTCTTAAAGAAAAAAAAAAAAGACAGAAAATAAAAATAAAAAAGGAATCCAGATAACATTAAAGAGATAAGTAGAAAACTGGGTATGCTGAGTAATCTCTAGTAACAAAATGTTTGTAGCCACTCCTGATTGTGCTGTATGGGTATGTAAAAGCTCGCAGGATGGGAAACTAAAAGTGAAATGCAACATTCAGATTGTAGATCCTGGCAATGACGTTTCAGTCCTATTTTAGCCAAGGAATTTTAGCTTCTTTTAATCAGTCAGAGATGCAATATTTATTATCTAATGCTGTAACATGTTGAAATCTAGAGAAGTTGCTTTGGTTTCATCAGTACCTGAAAACAACCAGCTCTAGAGCAGAATCCCTAACTGCCCCAGAAAACCACTATATTACACTTAGCAAATAAGCTGGCTGCTACCATTAACTTACGTTAGGCATAGCCTGGAAGAAGTATCTTAGTTTCAGCACAAACACCAGCATTATGGAGGCTCCAATAGCTGCTGCTAACTGAAGAGAAATACTTCATTAGAGAGGCCTTTCAGGACCATTTTCTCCCTTTTATTGTACTGTATTGTATACTTGTATATATTGTATGCAATATTTGTATTACAGCCCCCTCCTCCTCACCAAGCCAAATAAAGAAGATTAAAAGGAGAAGATTAAAGCAGGATCCTAGCTTAATTTGTGGCACATGATGTGCTGTAACTTTATACAATTCTAGTATATAACTTAACACACAGGATGAAGGAATCTGAATTAATGCTGCATGAGAATATAGCTTTATAGCTCAAAAATGGTTTGGATGAGAAGTCAGCCTATACTAAGTGTGCAGTTATTTTAGATGAGAGTTTGGGAAGTTGATGACTCCAGCCCAGCTCACCTGGGTTCTCCCACCTGTCTTCTCTTGAATGACAGTTCCAGAAAGAGCACAGCTGACAGCAAAACTTTTGAAAAATGAGCTGGAAATATTGCACAGCCCCACAGCTATTAGCTCCTGTAAAACAGAAACAGAATAATGTAGGGAAAAACCTAAATGAGTGACTTAACAGAAATAACTTAGGAAGAAGCATTTCTTTAKGCTTGTACTTGCTTGTTGTTTATATCTGTGTTGCTAAGTTCAGGAGACMTTCTGAAAAAAGCAAAGTCTGCTCTTGTTACATGAACTATCTTTAAAATCACAAAGTTTTCATGGCTCAYGTCCCCCAAAATCAAGTTCCTTATTCCAAAGAAATCCATGGACAGCTCCAAAGCTATATCATACTGACTCCCAGGCTGACACGTAGCAAATCTCAGTAGCAGCATCATGGACATGGAAAGCTCTGAGCAGAAAAGACATTCCCTTGATATCCATTCCAAAAGGCTACAAGAAGTCAGGCAGGTTTCCTTACTGGCTTAATTTCATCCTAATAAATACTCCAAGTGATCACAACAAGCTAAACAGCCCATAGAGCAAACCAGCTAATGCTTACTAACTGCTGCACGCTGAAAACCAACACAGTTTTAGCTTGAAAGTGTCTCAAAGCAATCACTCTTGGCAGAGAATCCTTATACTGGGTGGTTGCTAGCCAGATATAGGAAAGAACTGCAGCTCTGCAGGCCAGTTAGAATTTCAGCTATTAATGCTGGGTGCTTTTATAGTACTACAGGTTCAAAACACCCCTGGTCTTTGGGGTTCAGCTGCAGCAGTGTTAGGTTCATCCAATCAGTGGGAATGTACAAAGGCCTCTTGATTGAAAAGGGACATGCATTTATTGGCTTGTAATGCCTATTCTTCCATGCAGGAGGGTGTACAAGTTGCTGCAAAGCCTGTGTTTCTACCCTTCTCGGGTAGTTAGTGGCTTTAACAGGAGGGCTGAGTTTGCTTTCTGGCTCAGGAAGTATGTGCATTTTTGTTCTCACCTGATTGCTGGCAATATTGTAGTTGTGAAGTGAAGCATATTTCTTTCCCACAAAAACAAGAAGGAAGTAGCTTACAATAGCAAGGGAGAAGGCATGGAATACAATCTTGTTCAGGTTTGATAAATCTGGCCGTGTAGGAGGGAAAAACCTGCAGATTCAGAGAAGGGAGAAGTTTAGACTTGCTTTGAGCTCTGTGCAAAATAACCGTATACCCCAGACCAACATCCAAGGCAGTCTGCACCCCACAGGAGCTGCTCTGTAAGACTGCCTGCCTCCACCTCACACAAAATGCAAACTCCTTTCTTTGTGTGCAAACAACACTCCAATGCAATAAGGAAGGTGGTGGTTTACAATCTGTTATGTGAGCTCTGAAACAACGATGCAATTACAGTTCTTGAAGACTCATCTCTAGAACTGGGCTCCCCGGCACAAAACCCTCCGTGTCAGTTTTCAGTGAGAGGCTGAAACACCTCTTCTGTATGTCCAAACCATTAACAGAAACCTCACTAACTAACTAACCTGTGAGGGATCATACTGACGACAACCCTACTAGATTCAGCGTGAAGATGGATACGATTAGAAATAAGGGTGACTGTGACAATCTGGAAAAGAAAGCAAGAAGCAATAGCAGAGATTACTCAGCATTTGCTCTTGAAACAATATACAATATATCTAAGCACCTTGCAGAAGTATTTAAAGGAATTAACTATAGATAGAAAGTTTCTGAAATAAGGTATATTACACTAACACCTGCTACCCTTTTGCAGTACAGTCTAGTACATCYTATCTAAAGGAAGGGCTATTTTGTCTTGTTCCAAACCACTCTGTTACTTCCATGAAGCTTTCTGAACGTCCAGGAACATCAGCAGCGTCTCAGACAGAACATTGTGCACCTCTGTGTTAGCTCAGTAATTGCACGGGCAATATGGAGAATGCTTACCAAGAGAAGCTCCATGGGAAATGCAATAGGACTGTGCTTATATGTTATCTTGATGTATTTACTGACTCGCAGCAAGACCACACAGACCATAAACAGCAATATGCTGGTGGCATTTGCCTTTGGGAGGACCAGGAAGTAATGAAACAGATTCTGAAAATGAAAAAAATAATCACAGAGAGGATCAGAATCAGATATCACCACTACTTAAATTCTGGGAGGTTGTCAGAGGGTGCCTTGACACATGAATTCATCCTTTCTGCTACAGTGGTGTCTTCAGTGGGAAGAAGAGATGCTAAGAACAAAATAGTATTTAAAAAAACAGCTTTTCTGTCAGTGTCTGCTGAGAAAATAATGCCACAAATAACTCAGATCTGTCTCTGCACCATCATTCCTCTCCTACACTACCTTTTATTTCACACTGCCTGATCAAAATTCAATAAAGTAAATGACAAAAAAATAGCTTTAATTTGTATTTAGCTTGGTGTCCACTGGTTCTTTGGTATATTATAAAGATACTGTGCGCTCAAAAGTTTGCCTGTGATGATCTATTGGAAAAAAAGAAAAAACAAAAAAAAACATTTCCTATAGCCTTTCCTCTATAACAATTACAGACATAGTGAAAATTCTAGAAGTACATTAGTGATTAACAATGTGCACAAACCTTTTTTCTTATATGTTCTCAAGTCAATAATCTCCATACGTCTGTTCAAGACAACAGGAAGGTGAAGTAAAGCACAGCTGGGCATTGCACAAATGTTGACAGAGCCCAAAATTGCCTTCAATTTCGAAAGCTGTTCTTTTCTATCCAACAAGCACAGTTTTTTTTGACCAATAATGAATTTACTCACATAGAAAATGTCCAGGGGACCCTTGTGGAAGTCAATCACGATGCCAAAGATGAAGCTAAACTGCGATACAATGACATGCAACGCTGCTGCAGTGAGATAGGCATCAATGAGAGTCTTTGGCAAATACGTTGTGACAAACCCCAGGCAAAAACAGCCTAACAGCAACTGTATTGAATGAGAAAGGAAATGGAAAGTGAGATGTGATATAATTCTCAATGCCTAAACCGCCTTTCTTGTTTCCATACTTCAAGAGCATTGCCCATACATGATGGGTAGTTATTTGGTACATGCTGGATTCATTAGATAGGCTTAAGAGTGAGACACTGCTACACCAAAATAAGAGCAGTTCCCATCAAGCGTATGCAGGACTACCCGAGGGTCCACACAGTGGAACATGGGCCAACATCAAAGGTAACCCTTTCCTTCACATGTGTATATTCATCATGGACATGGGCCTCTTGAACACAGCACATATTCCTTCCGTGTACGGGAAGCAGCAGACCTGCATATTCCAGGCTGCACAACACACGTACTCAAATGTGCTGAGCTCAGTCTTTGTGGTGACAGTAGGCACACAGTCTTTCACTTGTAAAAGAATGCATATACACAAGGGTACCTCCTGACGGTGCTAAAATWGACTCAGCTTCTACCTGAATGATGCCAGTCAAAAATGTTGTYGATGCCGTAAGTGTCAAGGCCTCCATGTAATTTTTCATAAACGTGGGATCTGAGAAGTTGGCTAGTGAGGCATTAGAGGACAATATTTGGTTGAAATTAAGAGTCTTCAGAACGTTTGCCACCATTGCATTTAGGATGCTGAACGAGCCTGGAAGCAACAGAACAGAGAACAATAATTGGAACTGCATGAGGCGTTGCAGGAAAGGTCTGTCTTAAAACCACCATTTCTTCCTCCCCCCATCAGSCTCTTCAGTATGAGACAGACTATTTTCACTCAGGTATACAACCTGTTTTCATAATTTACTCTTCCTGAACAAGCACCTGAAGTTCCCCAGTCCTGTCTGAAAAGTTCAGACTCCTTTTACAGTTTTACAAGTGCAGGCCCTGACACTGCTTGGGTGCATGACAAAAATATTATATTAAAAAACAAATCCAAGAACAGGTGCATTGTCATGAGCTGAAAGACTGAGAACACAGTCAGACACAGAAGTTATGCAAGGAGCTCCACATATCCCCTCATTACGATAATGTGAGGAGCCTTCTCAGATGTAAACATCTTTCCAATAATTTGGTTTCTGGGTAAATTCAGAACGCCAAACCATCCACAACTCAGTCATGACAAGAAAGTGCAGGCCTAAGGGGCAGGCCAGGAGTTAAATCATGATTCATAGTCTCATGCTGGAGATATACGAGAAGCAGCTTGTGCTGGCCCTGTTTGTAGGAGATGCCACCACGATATTCCAGMTATCTCCTGGAGCACTGATGTCTGTGACACAGGAGCTGCAGTAGCTCTTSCTGGACAGGGGTTTAAAGCACTTTGACTTGACAGAATGCTGAAATTCTCAGCATAAAGCAGTTGCAGAAGTGGAACAATTAATAGAGAATTTGAGGCTCTGGAGCCTCACATAAATAAGACTGGCATATTAACAGATGAACAAATTCCTGCCAGCTTTTCAAACAGCATTGCAGGTAATCTCTAACTCCTGTAGGAACATTTTGCAGCACAAAATAAACCTCACCGATTGAGATATGATGCGAAGTCCCAAATATGACATAAGTCATCGAGCAGCAGAATGCAGAATAGAAGCCATTGATAACTGGCAAAGGTAGCCTGGTCAGCAAAACTCCGAGTAGTCCTGGAAAGCAAAAATATTTCTAAAATCCAACGAACGGGCAAAACTCTCTTATCTTTGGTTAAGATATTTAAGCAAAACTTTGCTGATGAAAACCTGACAACCTTAATGAAGAACCTAGTTATATTTTTTAATGGGACCATGATAATACAGGCACCATGAGTGCTGGTCYTCTTTACAATGCCTCCCACGTGCCAGTCCAGGTCTTGGCCAACATGTCAAGCGGGCAAGAAGCCATTTGGCTCCCACCATCTATTCCTTAGGGAGTCCAAGACCTGATAAAGCCACTCAGGCCAATTAGTAACAACAAAAAAAGGGTTTGTGTTGCCACAGGGGCACTTGCTACCTAGAAACTCGTCAAGGAACCAAAGTAACTGTTGCTTTAGGCCACCTGGCTGTGAGGTGGCCACGCTGTGAGTTTTGAATACACTCGATTTTGCGGTGTGGATTGTGAAGGTTGTGTTACTTTGTTCACAATAGAAGAAAATGCCGCTGCTAATTATGTTTATGTTTTGGAGTTAGTTTAAGGGGAATTCTGTGTATGAAAAARATAATGCCCTGCTTTTGAAATTATACCGTGTACTGTCTGATTAAAGACTTTTTTTTCCCTGAGAATGTGAAAATAAATTGGCTAATGAACTATGGAACTTRTATGGCTGAAACGCCCACATAATCCCGCCACATATAAAAAGAACAGGAAAATATGCAAGAGGTCAAAATTAAAATATGAAAATGATGATATAGAAAAGGGAGAAAGGGTGTTTCTTTTCTCTCTGCCTACCTTGAGGAATCTGAAACATGCCAACACTTAAGCCTGCGTGGATGTCTCTCAAGAGCCACTCTCTGAAGCGATACGAAAAAAGCCAATTCAGGATAGGAAACAACTTGAATATGATCTTTTTGAATCTTTTCCAGGAGAACCTGCAAAAAAAAAAAACCCAGATAAGCAGTAATGCATTGAATCACCTCCAGCTCTGTGGCATCCTCTCCAACTGGCAGGGCGCTCCGCAGGCACTGTGTGCCGCGACCCATGTCGGTCCGAGCGCTTTGGAGCTGCCATGGGCAGTCAGCACGAAGGCTCCACGGGCACCCCGGGCCCTGGCATTCCATTCGCATGAATCCCAAATGTCCTGGGTGCCTTTCGCATGATATCCTCTCAGCTCGAGCACCCGCAGCTCAAAACGCTGCACTTACTCGACCTCATTAACACAGAAGAAAGATAGGAGTTGGGATTTCAATCCTTCCTATTCCAGTCTAGAAGGAAAATACAAGAACACGACATTGGTAGGGAAAAACAACGTAGARAAGTCACTCCCTCTCAAGAAAAAGTGGAGTGCTTCCTGTATTATTTAATGTGGGGATACAAGGAGTACCTGGCATGCACAAATTAATCTCCCGATATAATTTTGAATTAGAATTTCCAGTAGGTAAACTCCGACTAACCCCACAGCCCGGTGCTTCTTTTTCCCCCTTTCTAATCCACTGCCAGTGTTGGTGATTTTCCAATTATGAACCAAATAGGAAAAATGCAGCATCTGCCCGGGGCTTCAGGAAGCYTTGGACAGCGGCTGCGGTGACTAAACCCCAGTAAATGTCGCAGAATTGAGGCCCTTTCCATCATTTCCTTAGCCGAGGTGACAATATACTGGGCTGCCAAGTGAATACAAAATGCAGAACTGAGAAAACACGAGACAGGGAAGTGAGAAACAGCAGGGAAAAGGATATGCAGAAGCAAGATAGACATGGGGCTTAAACAAGGAGTTGGGGGAGGGAATAAAGAGATTTCCTTCTGAGGAGTGTGTGCAATGATAAAGTTTCAAATAATATTAGCTATAATGTAAAACCAAAATTCTCCCTTTGATCTTCGGACAAGACTTATTTTGTTGCACCAGGCATTTTTGGGTGGACAGACGCTTAAACGATTTTGTTTCTCTGGCTCCAGAATTTTATCCAATCTCCTCCTTATTTCTTTAATATATGAGAGGGCAATGCCAGAATAGAGATTAATCTTGTTGGCGAGTCCTTAACATGAATGACAAAGGAGCAGACGCTGGTGGCTACTGCAATCATGGCTCCATCGGCCTTCACTGGCCACCAGGGAATCCCCTCGCAGGAGCCTCAGGAAGGCTGAGCGGCAGCGCCGGGCTGAGCCACGACCAGGGCCAGCGGGCCCGCGGCCGCGGCGCTTTGTCCCCGTGTGGGCCCGGCCCTCCTGCAGCCACATTGCAGCAGACCCTGCGGAAGCCACCCCAGGCCTGGGTGTGAGGTCCTGCCCCAGCCCCAGAACAAGCGGGTTTCAGGTTCGCCACAGGCCCTGTCACCTGCTGAGACACAGCTTGGAGGGCTGCTGGATCGCAGAGTTCTTTTTTCACTCTCCTAGGAGGACTGTGCAGAGTAAATACACGCCACAGCAAAYCCAGCACAGAGTACATACATTACAATTGCCAGTCCACTCAGGATCCAAAGAAGAAAACTGAGAATATTCATAATCAAATACAACTGAAAGGGGAGCTGCTGGAAGAGCTTCCTATTTTCGATTACATTCGTCCTGCTGTGGGAACGTCAGGAATTCTCACACACCAACAAAAGGGGGCTGCTCTGGAAGGAGAGGTGCTTCTAGCCCAGGGCAACGTCCAAAGGAAAAGCAGTGATGTCCCAAGAGGGGACAACCAGGCTGGTGCAGCACTAGGGCTGTGCCAGTGCATGCACCCCACCCGTCATTCTCAAGGAGCACAGGAACACAGCTCTGAAGTAAAGAGAAGACATTTCAGTCTATCTCTGTCAAACCATTATGCAACTTTCTGTGTCCCCCACTAAGAAGGAACAGAAAATGGGTCTTGAAAGTTAAAAAACAAAACTAGCAAAATCCTCAAACTGGAGCAAGCAGATGCAAGCTGGTGCATGCCAAGGGGCAAGGGAAGCTCGGACGGCCCAAAGCTCTTGGCAGTTTCACACTACAGCGCCTACATCCCTTTTGCTATCACACTCCTAAAGCCAACAGGGGCTTTTGCAGACTGCAAATGGCAGCTCAGGCAGCACGGTGGGAGCTTCAGGTGGGAGCCGCCATTACTGGGTGATCCGCTTCAGTTATCAATCGGTGCAGTTTAGCATTTTAATTACCAGAAGTGGCAATTTAGCACCTTTTAGCCCAATAGCACTTTTTTCACCTAATAGCATCTTTCTTTTAATACGTGAGCTTGAAGAGTCTCTTATTCCTTGCGTGAAACTCACCTGCAGTGGAGGCGCCGGTGGACTCGAGGGATTTGTATTTCCCCACATAAGGTAGAGGAGAGGTTTCTTTTGAAGTATGTCTGGAAGTGCTCCTCGGTTTGCAGGTCTCCTTGGGCTCTGTATGGTGCTGTTTGTCTGTACGCCCTAGCGATATCATCATCTAGCTCCATATGGTCCTTCTGACCATGGACAGTCAAGAACACAGCAACAGCAAATGCTGGAGTCCAAAACCAAAGACCCTGTTCTTGGCAGCAAGACTGAGGGAAAAAAAAACCAACAGGGTCATCACTGAAGTCTCTCTTAAGAAAAAAAAAAAAACAATAAGAATTATAATATGTGATCAGCCCATCCCAGTACAACGCCTGTGGAACCAATAGCCAGAGCTCTGGAGACTGAAACCCATTAAAGACTTGCTGCTCTTAGGATCGGATTAATCAACTGCCAAATCACTTTCAGGAATATTCGGTCTTTCTGGAACCTGGTTTATTCCAAGTCTGTGGGAAGGACCACCCTGGGTCCCCTCCATTTTGTGATCTGCAAACCAGGCCTGTGCTTAGGAAAGTGGATCCAATCCTCCTCCACAGCCTACAGCTGGGGAACAAGCTCTAAATGTCCTTKTTCCCAGCCCAGGAGGAAAAAAACAGTTGGAATCACACAGAGAGCAGCTAAACCTGAGGTCACGTCAGTGCTGCAAGTACTTGCTGTGTAAAATCTGCCTCTAATACTTGAAGTTAAACTGGCCTCAGAATATCTGATTCCCATTCCTGAGGATTTTAATATCAGGAAGGAGATCTGAGTCCAACCGCTATTGCTCTGAGTAGGCAAGACATGAGCTCCCGAAAGGAATACTGAGCAAGGAAAGGCCCCGAGCAAGGCAACATCTGAGGCCAATGTCTTAYGCAGGCAACAAGAGCAGAAGAAGCAGCCAATGCAGAGGTCCCAAACGAAAGTAGAGACTCCATGTAAAGCAGTGTGGTGACAGGTAGTAACATACAGGAAAAGAGGAAATCTAAAAAGGCTGTGAGTTAGCAGCAGGAGTCTCTTGAGGATAGAGTCTAAGTGTAGCAGAATTCAGTGAAAAAAAAAGAAAAAAGAAAAGAGGGATTAAAGTTTCCTCCTTTTGATTTCTGCCATGAYGGGGGTACAGGGTGGTGTGCATCACTGAACCGGGCCCTTCCAACAGAGCCCTAAGGCGTCCTGGCACGCGCACACAGTGCAGGCAGAGGGAGGCACAGCAGGCACGTCCAGAGCTCCCCCAGGTAGGTTTAGGAGCCAGTTTTTGTTCAGTTTGCTCTTGAGCCCCAAGTTTTTAAAATTTTACCTATTTGYGTCGTCTTTGAGCACAAGGACCTTTCCAAAGTAAAATAATACACCAAGAACGTAGAGACCGCTCATGGAGGACATTAAARAGCTGAGTAAGTCATCCTTTAGACACAAGAGGAGGTAAAGTTCAGCTCTCCKTCACTCCCGCTGTTTGGACCCAAGCGATGACTCACGGAGGCAGCGGACAGGGCCCCATTCTGCCAGCCTGTGTGGACAACAAGAAGGTTTTTGACCTGGGGAGCCGTGGAATGAAAGCCACATTGTGTGTCCATGCAGGCCGGTCCATCATGCACGGCATCGCCAACAAAACTTGTCCTCCTCAGGCTTCAGGCCTCATGCTCCAAACCCCAAGGCTGTTTATTTGCAATTCTGCATTTGCTAACTGGCGAAAACACCACGGGCCCCACCACCCACATGGGTCCATGATGTACTCCCATCTGCTACATAGGTATTTTTGGTAAGATAAGGCTGCACTGCAGCACTGAGAAACAATTTATTCTCTAAAAAGACAGAAGTGGGAAACAAACACTGGGCAGACAGGGCTTATCTCTGCCCACGGACTTAGCATGAAGCCCCCGAAAGGGGCAGAGCCTCCTCAGCTCTGGACCTGGTGCCTGTCTCAGTGATGTTTTGGGATGAATTCATTGATTTCCATTTTTTTGTTGTTTCGAACTTGTCCTATGGGCAACCGAGCAGCRAAGGTACAAGTGGAGCTAATGGACACATGAAATAAGTGGAAGAATCGGGGGAAATTCAGCTTGGGGGGAGGAGGGAACTTTCGACCTTGGGTCCGGGATCGGGGCAGACCCGAGAGAGACGGCAGGGTGAGGTGGGGGGAGAGCCCTCTCCCCCGCCCCACCCCCTGCCTCAGGCCCCGCCCCCTCCCGCGCTCTCGCGAGACGTTCCCCGCGCCCTTTCCATATTGGGTCATCTCTGCGGCGGGCGCCGCAGCTCTCGCGAGAGCGGCCGCGCGGAGCCATTGGGCCGCGGCGCCGCTGGCGGCCGCTTCAGCGCGGCCGGGCGGAGCCGGGGGCGGTCGCTGTGGTGCCGCCGCTACCGTCCCACCTGCGGCGGGCGCGTCCCCTGCCGCCGCCCCGCCCGCTAGCTCCCTCCCGCCTCTCACCTCCCGGGGCTGCGGGGCGGGCGGGCGGCGAGCCGGGCCGGGGGGGAGCCACGCACTGACGGGGCGAGGGCAGCGGGCGCGCGGCGGCTCCCAACGCTCGGGCGCGCGGCGCCCCGGTTACCTCAGCGCGTGAGGGGCGAGAGCGGCGCCGCCGCCCGCCGCAAGGGCGGGCGGGGAGGCGGTCGGCGTGAGGGAGGGAGCGAGCGAGCGAGGGGAGGGCCCTGGCGCTGCCCCCGCCTGCCGGGAGAAGGAGGAAGGAAGGAGCCGCCGCCGCTGGAGGTGCCGGCGGCGCCAGAGCTGCTGCCGCAGCCGCGGGCCGAGCAGCCGCCTCCCTGCCGCCGCGCCGGGCAGGGCGCGCTCCGCAGCCGACATGTCTCAGGAGCGGCCCAAGTTTTACCGGCAGGAGCTGAACAAGACGGTGTGGGAGGTGCCCGAGCGCTACCAGAACCTCTCCCCGGTCGGATCCGGGGCCTACGGCTCCGTCTGGTGAGTCTCGGGCCGGGGGGTGGCCCGTGTCGCGTTGCAGCGCGTGGCAGGTGGCTCCGCGGCGGCTCTGCCGGGGCCGGTAGCCGTGGCCCTGCGCTCTGAGTCACGATGTGCGGGTCGCAGCGTGCCCTGCTGCAGGGACGAGCCCCTTGGGGCGGCCGGCCGTTCTCAGGCCTCTCAGGTTCCTTAGTGCACGTTCGGTTTCTGGCGCTGGAAGGAGAGCTTATGGTCGAGGCAGTTGCGTATTTTCCCTGGGATCTCTTGGTAGGGATGACAGCAAGAGGGGCCTGCGAGGGTGTTTTTCTTGCATCCCTGACTTGCAGCAGTAGCTTTATGGATGTCAATATTATTCTTGTGGTGGATCACAGAGCAAACTCGCCGTCTTGCTGTAGAACTGCAGAATTACTGCAGTGTGGGCCGCCTCACGGGAGCCAAGTGCAGCTGCCAGCCCCGCACGACCGTGCGGGTCCTGCGAGCGAAAAGGGGTTTTAACGCTTACCTAAGGCGAGCGAAATGCGTGACAGGCTCCACGTGCGAAATCCTGCAAAGTTCCCGTAATTTGTAGCTTTGCTGAAGGATGCTGGCTCGTTAAGCGTGAATTAACCTACATCCCTTAAAGGAGATAGATTTAAATCAGTTTGACATCCTGACTTTAGCCGTATTCGTTGATTGATGGGTCCTTTTATTGAGAAATTCTTTATTTTTCTAGTTTTTAATCTCTGTCCAACTGTGGCCGTTTTTTTTTCACAGAGGCCTGTAGTGGTTGTGCAGCTGCTTTGCTGCTCTATTTGAGCAGACTTGCATGTTTTTTCATTAGCGTAACGTGCAACCCTACATCATGAACACCACTTATGCATCACATTATGAATATCACGAAGAGGAATGCATACCGAAGCTGTGCTAATAAAGAGATGTTTTGCACATGCTGCAGCTTTACAGAAATAGAGTTCTCTGCTGACTTTAATACAGCAAGCTTAAGATACCAAAATTGTCCGTTCTGTTTAACTGATATGTATTCTTAAAATTGATGTTCCGCAAGTATTTCAAGGCTTGCACTTCATAAAAGACAAAGGCTAAACCATTCTATCAGCAACATTAACTGAATATATTCGCCTATTTATTTATTTATGACTGGTAGAAAGATTCAGTTCTGCTGAAGAAGGGCCTGACTGACCTAGCTGGTAAATGCTCCCTTAACCACTTAGTTTCATAAATCAACAGTGTAATGGGAAGTTAATTTGCTGAGTGCCATGTGCATTGTATTTGTAAGGTTGACCCTGCACAATCTAACCCCTTCCTCTTCTCTTCCCTCCTCCCCACATTGTGGTTTTTTTTTTTCCCCCTCTCTCCATTGTGCTTTTAATACTTCCAATGTTTGTTTTCACAACCAATAACTGAAGAGTTTGCATCATGAATTTCCTGTTTTGCTGTGTCAAAACTTGAAAAGATTGTGCAATTGCATTCAGGCCAGATGAAACCAAATTTCATTGGAAGCAATTTCAGAAATGTGGCACATGAGTCTTTTCATGTTGATGTTTTTGTACTAAAACTTTATATTTCAGAAAAGAAGCAGTTCAGAAAGATGAATAGCATGAAAAGCAAGTCCGGATTAAAGTAAAACTTGCATATAAAAACTTCTTTGATCCTTAATCTTGTTAAGCTGCAAATGGTGATGAATGGTATTGATGATATTTCTAAAATGACTTGTTCTGTTTATTATCCCTTTAGAGAGATTTCTTTTTCTTCCTCTCCTCCCTCATTTTCCAGGAAAAAGGTCTCTAGCTTCATTTGAAACAGTTTTGTTGGGAGTACACTTATGTTGCAAGGCTTTAATCACCCTTAACTGAATGGTTAAACATACTTCCAGGTGTGTCTACCACATCATTGTATTAGAATATAATAGGATATTGCTTATTTATCAAGGTGAAAGAGTTAAAAGTGAGGGATTTCTAGAGAGTGGGGAAGAAAATAATGCAAAAATAAATAACTGATCCAGCAAATGGAACCTTTAGACTGTGTGGAGATGCAAGTAGGGGCTTAGCTCCAAAACTCTGAGAAAAGCTGATGCATATGCTCAGCTTGTTCCCCGCTTGTAATAATGATTGTGACATTTGTTGTATGGAATATTGCATTTGTCCTTGCAGCACATTTGCATATCACATAACAGTGATTTGCACAAAAACATTTACTCAAAATCTGTAACAAGGTCTGCTTTAGAACAAATGTGGGTTCCCAAAGCACTAGCCTTGTAACCAAGGTGGGGCTTAGGAATTGCAGCAGGTTGCAGTGGGAAGCTGCTGAACGGAGCTGGGGTTGATGTGTGAGTCACAGTTTAGCCAGAGGATCTCTCCATTTCTGCATATGTTAGGGGAAGTCAGTGCAAAAGGCGTTAATGTGACCTGTTCTGAGCTAGGACAGCAGTTGGGTGTCCTGCCACGCTGCAGTCAGCTGCTAACACGTTTTGAAGGCCAACTCGSTAGGCTCTGAAGTATTTACTTGACTGATACATTTCTGCAGCAGTTGTTGGTGTGTTACGTGACATCTGTGTATTATAACTGCTCTGTAAGCTGCCTTGCAGGGCCTCTGGCTTTATTTATTGGAAAGGAATTGAACATGGAGACCTATTTCTCCCCAGAATTTTGAAWTTTTTAGCTTTCCTTATTGATAGACTGTTAGGTTATATAATTCTTCAAAAAACAGGTTAAAAATGATTACAATATAATAATAGGCTTTCCTTCCCCCTACCTAGCTGTGAGTCAAATATCTGAGTATTGACACCGACTCTGGCTTTCCTGGGTGTTTTGAAAATACTGAGATCATTTCTCTCTCTCTCTTTTTTTTTTTTTTTTTTTAACTAAAGGAAAAATACTACAAATAGAAGAATTTTAAACATTAGACTGGGGAAAATGAAGGACAACCCAAAGTAGCACCTTTGAGATAACAGTTCCTCTGCAGATCTTTTGGACCAGTATGCGTCTCTGGACTTAATCCCTTACCGAAGCGTGTGAGAGCCACTGAAGCCGGTGTGCGTTTGGAGGGGCAGGTTTTTGCCTCTCCAGTGAGGTGTGGTTGATGCAGAAGAATGGTCTGGAGAAGAGCTATATAGCTCTGAGTGTGAGGTAGACATACGGGCAATATAAGCAGAACACATGCAAGTAGGGTGATGGAAGTGAAAGCAACCCGTTTTAGCAAGATGGGAATTAAGTTGAGCTCAGAGCTGTAATTTCAGCTTACTGTGAGCAAGGTGAAAGTACCTTGTGTGCCACAGTGCGCTAGAATATAACAAGTCATAAAAATGGAAGCTCAGATGAATCTGAACTTGTGTTGATCTTGCTTCACGTGGATTTTGTAACTGTGGGTCCTGCCATTTTTACCCGATTGGGCTTTTTCAGCTGAAATATGATCAGTATAAWCCAGCTCTTGATTTTAAGTCTGTGCTGAAAGCCATCTCAGTGTTGCCTTTTTTTTTCGTATTTCCCCACATGACAGCTCCTGTGTGGCTTTTGCATTCTGTACTTCTACAAACCATTGGGCTCTTATCTGTATTGGCAAGAAATTACTCGGCATGCCTTCATTTGTAGGGATATAGATGTTTAGGCACTGAATATGATCCAGCTTAAAATTCTTTTGACTTCAAGACAGCAATAGGCGCTTCTGGATGTGCTCTGAATATTTGTTTTATCCAGGCTCAAACTTTAGGAAGGCAAATATGCACGTGGGATTCTAAAGACAAGATACTTCTGGGAGACAAATGGGGTGACCTAGTATTAGTCCTCAAAATTATTATCTTCATGCCTAATGTAATTTCACCCATATTACTGACGAGCAATACTTGTGACTATTTGGGCTTTTTACGTTTGGCTTTAATGGTGAAARGAGAGAATCCTGTGTTAGCCATAACTAGCCAGTGAAGCGGGAAGAATTGAGAATCATTTATGGATCGTTTAAGAAGGCTGAAGTCAGTTAAATGTGACAAAATTGCATGAAATTTGCCTTTTAAGAGATGAGGTAGATATTGGTAATTTTTAGGGATTAATTTCTCAGTTATTCTCCTTGTAATTTGACTGTTACAGATTGATGACTTGATGTGACTCCCAAATGGTTCGCAAATAACTTGTGTTACATCCTGTATTTCTGAAATTTCTAAAGAGAATCTTGCGGAAAGGGAGAAGGAAATTTGATTCTAGACATGGTAGCTGGTAGGGTGGTTAACATGCAGGGAATCCCCTGCTTTTCAAGATGAGAGATACTAGTCTGTTATGCTCTTTTTTTTTGCAGCTGAAATGGTTGAAAGCTTCTAAAGATTCATGACTAATTCACAACATTCTGGCTTGAACTATGATGACTAATCTTCTTTTTGCAGCAAGTCCTCGAAAACACCTTGAGCATTGCTAAAATATAGCTATACAATTAGACCTTGAATTAAATGTGCTTTTTTTCTATTGCAAAGCAGTATTCATGAAGCTTAAAAAACAGCATTCAATGTTTTTTGCCATGTTTGCAGCTTAATAGAGACATTTGCTAATGGTGTATGAAAACTTGGTAGATAATTTGAAATAATTTGTTTGTCCAGGCTGAGTGAGGTCTAGAAGGTAACCCATCTAAGGAAGAAAACAGCAGATTTTTGTGTRTTCTTGAAGAAATATGATGTGAAATCACTTGCACAGTTATGGCAGTTTGRTGCTATGTTCTAGGCGTGTTCTAGCTGTGTTCTCATCTCTCTTCCGTGTGTGCACAGACATCCCTCATGCAGAAAGAGATGTCCCTTTTCCATCACAGCCACCCAATGGGTTTTTCTATTCTCTTGCAGAGCCTGGGAGAAGCCTTGTAGAAATAAGTTTGTATTTTACGATTTAGTTCTCCTATTTCTCATAAAGCAAACTGGAAATTGTACCGCTTTGGGGTAAGGTGCCTGTTGCAAGTTAGGTTCAATTAGTTGGCTTTATGAATAAATGACCATTGTAAATTTATTTGTATGCGGAATTCGGGGTTTGTTCTATGACTGATTTCCCCCCCCCCCCCGTGTTTGGTACTGGACTTTCTCTTACTGGAGTTACCTCATACACTATAAATATAAGGCTTTTCCTTTCACTTAATGTTTATCAAGAACTAGTGCATACTTGCTTTTAAATGATATTAGGAGTCTGACCTGAATCAAAATGCAGCAGGAAATGAACAAACGTTGTCTCTAACTTTCTGTTTTCGTACTTTCCCTGCTTGGTATCAGGCGTACAGCGCAGCCTTGATTTCACATCCTCTGCATCTCCTCCTCCTTCCTTTTGGACAAGCCAGAGCTCGTTTTAGATAAGAACATCAAAGGAAACAAGAAGGAGGAGCAATTTAGTTCACAGCTAAATACCTACCTTAGTTCCTTGATTTCCAGATTCTTGCTAAATYTGGGGGTTTAGTTCCTTGATTTCCAGATTCTTGCTAAATCTGGGGGTTTTGAAGTGTTCATAAGTATCTCTTTTTGCTATTTTTTTAATTATAGTTCTGCCTTTGACACCAAAACGGGGTTGCGTGTAGCTGTGAAGAAGCTGTCCCGACCATTTCAGTCTATCATCCATGCCAAGAGGACCTACCGAGAGCTACGGCTGCTTAAGCACATGAAACATGAAAACGTAAGTTGAAGAAGGTGCTGTGAAAAGTTGAATTAAAGTTAGACCATCCAGGGAGCATCTGCCTAAATATCCAGCACTATCGTATCTCTAGCTAGTAGGGGGAGAAAAAGGGGGAAAAAAAAGCYTGRTTTCCTGGTAMGGTTYCCCCTGGATGGTCTGTTCATCATTCCTACTTTTGTGGGAGAGGCAGTTCTGTGTTGTGGGTTCTCGGATTGATGTCCCTTGAATCATCTGGGCATTTTTAGCGTGGCTAATATAATTGGAAGATTTGGTGTGCTATGTGAAATACCCAACAACAATTCCGTAATGCCTGGATGCAGGAATATTGTATTTGCTACCATTTTTTTAACAGTAGGATAGTGTTTCCCATTCCCTTGATAATCTTTTTTTCTGAGCCTTCTCTGCTGGCTGGGAGCCTCCCTAAGCAGGTGTAGAGGAAAGCTTCTAATTCTGTTTAAAAATAAAAGTGGAGAGCGTTAGTGTTTAACTAAGCTATTGGGGTTAACTGGTGGCAATTAGACTAACTGGTTTTACAGCAGTTTGACATTCGTTAATAGTTCTGTTTTAGCGTAGCAAGGAGCCTACATAGCTTTGAGAATAAGGGATGAAAGGATGTTGTTTAGGTGGTTTGTTAAGCACAGCACTGAGCGGATGTGAAAGGCAACTTGAATTTGATGCTCTATGAAGGTCATAAACTTTGTGATGCTGCGAGGAAAAAGCAAAAGGGTGGCACGTAGGYTTGAGTGTGGGGACGACCACAGTTCCTTTGAATTGAGTCGGTGATGCACTGCAGCAGGACCRTGTTTGAGTGTTTGTGAAGCTTTGATGAAGATACAGTAGCAGAGCAAGATGAAAGTGATAAATGAAGAAACTGATATCTGGATAGCAACACTTTCTTCTTACCAGGATAAATTGGGTGGATAATGGTCAGTTTTTCTGTAAATAAACTCTGATATGGAAAAGTCTATTGGAAAGGAACCATAAGAGAATTTACTGTACTGGATGGATGCAAATGTTAGATTTTGAAGAAAATGTCTGTCTAGAAATTGAGTTAGTGATATGCATGAACAGAGGCAGGAAGGTGATTTCACTCTTCAGTTTCCTTCCTAAGCATTCAATCTGTAATAGACAATGCAGATCAGATTATACAGAGGTTTATTATTTCCTATCCCACCTGCTTCTTTTTTTTCTAGAAACATTTCTAGGCTCCATCAAACTTTTGTCCTCAGTTATCTATTTAAAATTAACTGTTTTGCATGGTGCCAAAGGAAACCACAGCAATGCAACCGTTAGTTTCTTAGTCACACTGAAGCTGCTAAAGAGTGCTTGGGAGCAAAGCGATGTGTATCCGAGTCAGTGAGATGCTGACCTGAAATGGGAAGAGGGATTCTTTGGAGGTGGATGAAGAGAACTTTTYCCTTTATCTCATATATTCCTAATATAGAATATAAAGTGTTATTTGTTATTAATGGAAGGAAAGCAGGTTTTAGAAGCACATCCCAGTGAATTAAAACCATTTTAATCCACCAAGTAGATGGTTTTTAGTGCTGTAAATGACTTGGAAGATACTAGTGGGAAAAAAAAGTATTTTCCAAAGTGACACGTTCAAACCTTTTTACTCTTTTTGGTTAAAACAGGTCCACTGGGAAATGRACTGTGGAGTAGGTGCTCTTAGGGCAGAAAACACAAGTGACAGTGAAGTTGTCAGCTGATCCTGCAGATCAGGTCCTTGGTGCACTGTTTTCCTGACTTGCTTTCTTGTATAGTCATTATTATTCGTTGCTTGTATCCTTGATTTTTTTTCTAGGTGTTAGTACAAATGAGGGGAAAAAAAATCATAGTTTACCGTCTAATCTGTGGTGGAACTGGGAGCAGAGTAGGAAGCAAGCTGCTTTTGGTGTATGTTTTTTTCTGGAAAAATTTATTTCCTGGGCAAATTTTAGTTGACTTTAGAAATAAGGCATTGTAAACCAGTGTTAACACTTGCTTTTGGTTGCATGGATTTGTGATGCCTCCTTTTTGATACTTTAAATGTATTTTTTTTTTACACAGAAGTCAAACCTTTGTTCGTCATGTTGTTTGRATACTATTTTTTTTATCCAAATGATTTATGCAACTGGAAATGAATCTATAGGTTGTAGGAATAAATCTATGAAGATGAATCTATTGGAATTAATAGTTTCTATTGCATTAAGGATCCTATTAATTGTGTCATACTATGAACAYAGGAACTTTCTCACCTTACCTTTTCTTTTCCAGGTGATTGGTTTGTTGGATGTGTTCACACCCGCCAAGTCACTAGAAGAATTCAATGATGTGTAGGTAACTTTTCTGAAGACTGGCACAAAGCACCTTTTGTATCTTCCTTTTATCTCCCAAACTGCTCTAGGGSTATTTGCCACCATCGTTTTATCTGCCCTTATTCTCGAACAGTTCTGAAATCTAGCCCCAAAGATGGGAGATCCTAAACTATTGGACTCCTCACGCTTGTTCAGTTGCGCTTTGTTCCCTGGTGCTGTAGTAATCAGGGAGCTGATGTGCCATGTTATTTAATGCATCACAAGCTGTATTTCCTTCAGTTCTGTGCTTTGGGACAGCCGACTCGGCTGTTGGAGAGTGATAAGCAGCGTCCATCCTAATCCTATTGGAGAGGTTGCTTCACAGCCCCTGCGTTTTCTTTCATTTGCAGGTATTTGGTAACGCACCTTATGGGAGCAGATCTGAACAACATTGTGAAATGCCAGAAACTCACAGATGACCACGTGCAGTTCCTCATATATCAGATTCTTCGGGGACTGAAGGTACTTGCGTCGGTCATCTCTGAATGTWGGTAGCTCATTGATGGCAGGTTGAAATCCCTGATGAGATTCATATCCTCCGAGATTCCTATCCACATGGAGCTTCTATTAATTTTTCTAACGTATCATAGGATAATCTTGTCCCATTGCTCTTTGTGCCTCATTTGCCCTCTGTCTCGGTAAAGATATGTAAAAGTTATGAAGATGGTCCTGTATGTTTCTAGGGGCAGAAGCTGGTAAACTATGGATGATGCTGTCCTTTAATCGACTTTGTGCATCTTCCATTCCTTCAGCCTCTTCTCTCCGTCTCTTTGGTGCCAGAGTGTGTAGGGAGAGGCTGAAACATCTACGTATTTGAAACCCAGAGGCACCTGCTGTATTTGGTTCCCTCTCAAACAAGCTATACTGTCCGAGTTGTGTGGGATGGGGCAGGGCAGTGCTGCGTGGTGACAAAATGAGAAGCTACTTGTGCTCCTGCCTCTATGTAAAATCTGTCGTCTTGCCTTGCAGTACATCCATTCAGCTGACATAATACACAGAGTGAGTATTTATCCTGTTTACTTTTTATTCTGAACCGGTGTGTTTAGAGAGCGTAGCACTGAACCTGACAATGTAGCAACTGTAGAAYTGAGGGGAAAAAATCTGAAAATTACTGCAGCTGAACGGTCAAGTAGTTACAGATAGGAAGTGGTTATCAAAATCCTTAGTTTCTGTTCCTGCCTCTCTTGTCTGTCTTCTTTTTAAATAGGTTTTCTATTTGCGTTTTATGCATCTGCAACAGCAATGTTACGATAGGCCRTTCATTTGTTTTTGCTTATAAATGCCACCCTTGAGAACAGTGGAAGAGAGAGCTGGCTCCAAGACAAAATTATTTTCCCAAGTATGGAGCGTTGATATTGACAGCCAGCTACAATCTATTTTCCATATGTGAATTAATTTTCTTATCTACTTTCTTATCTTCTTTCTTACCTTCTATCTAAGCTTGTGCAGTGACATACATTCTGCTGTTAATGCTGATGTTGTTTGATTTCTAGGATTTAAAACCTAGTAACCTAGCTGTAAATGAAGACTGTGAGCTGAAGGTAATGACAGCGTGGCTGCTTTGACTGGGCTTTGAGTGAATGCCTTGTGGATGTCGCTTTGAATTAAAGGAACAAAATAATTTGTCATGGAAATACTTTGCTCTGAATTAATCATGTCTTTTCCAGCTGTAAGGATGCTTATGCAGAATTCATTTTTCTTTCTATATATATTTGTGTGCATTTAATGAATCATSATGAAAGAAAGAGCTGTAGTTTTGATTTAGTTCTTTTATGGTTAAGGTGTTCAGATGCAAGTCTGATGGTCAGATCCTGTGCTTTCCTAGGCAAGTGTCATTGAACAGGTTGTGAAACAGTTTCATAATCTGTTTTTGCAGTTGTACCACCTCTCCTCCACCCGGGCTAAGAATTGTCTAGTTATTTGCTCTAACCAGTTGGCACTGCTCCGCTGCAGCAGTTGGCAACTGTCTTTCTATTCCGTAGATCCTGGATTTTGGCTTGGCCCGACACACGGACGATGAGATGACGGGGTATGTGGCCACCAGGTGGTACAGGGCTCCTGAGATCATGCTAAACTGGATGCATTATAACCAGACAGGTAACAGCTTTAACTAGTACAAAGCTTTTCAGTTCTGGAGTTTAAAGTCAAAAGAGGTTGTCCTATGAGTGTTTTCCTTTGCATTTGATTGCATAAATTCAGTAAATAAAATTCAGTAAGGATGGTTAAAGGAAGGAAGGCCTGGCATTATGTATCTTGTCCACAGTCTAATAGCCATAAGTTATGAATCACTGTGACAGCATTCGCACGATTTCCTTAAGCTTGGTCCTTTGAAATAGCAGCCAGCAAAAAGTCATCAGGACTTCTGGGAATAGCTGCTCTAATACAAGAGTATCTCTGTATGAATCAAAGAAAAGAATGTGCTGTGCTGGTTACACATCTTACTGCTTTTTCTTCTCTCTCTTTTCCTCTTATATGTGTATGGACTTTTCTGTCATCTGTAACGTAGGAGTTAGTGGTCATTATGTAAGGTCAAGCTCGTGCTTCAGAGCTGGCTTCAGCAGGTGGCTGTTTCCTCCACTTTGTAGATTCCTGCCTGGCCTTTGGGTGTCCAGTGGATGTTGTGCTCAGGAAAGAGAATTTACCTCATCTGATATTATGTTATTTGGAGAAGCTTTAGGTGAAGGGCTTACTGAACAGCATCAGTTTGCAGTGTGCCTCAGATTGTATTTCTCTAGTCTTACGGTGCTGAAACAAAGTTGTTTGTACTTGTTGAATAGGATGGCTCTGTTAAGCCTGTGCTTTTCTGCATTACATTTTCTTTTTATTTTATTTTGTTCAGTTGATATTTGGTCAGTGGGCTGCATTATGGCTGAACTCTTGACTGGAAGAACGTTGTTCCCCGGTACAGACCGTATCCTTTAAAAGTAATATATCGTGCCTCAAAAGTAAGTTAGAGATCTTAACTTTTCACATACTTCTCAAGGAAATAGAGTTCCACTTTTTTTTTGTTTTCCACTTTTTTAAATTATTAACAACTTCTTTTACTCGCAGTTTGATGAGGTGAGTTCTTACTGCACATGAAATCATGACTGCGCAAGGAGGCAACGCTCTCCCTTTCTGTTGTCTGTTAGCATCACTAGAATTGCTCCTGTGCTGTTTGTTTCTGGGAATTAGTTTCATTTAAGCTTATTTAAATTAATTGCTCTTTAAGTTTCCTTGGGGAAAAAAAAAAAGAACCACACAAAGTTTTCTGTCTGCTGTTAATTCGTTAATGCTTCAGGCCTCTGGCAAGTGGGAAGGATCGTTTTTGGGAAGGGGAAACCTCTCCTCGTGTTGAGGTGTGAGATCTGCAGACCCTGCAGTGTTGCTGCTCTGTGCCAGGATCGCTCCGAGATGTTTAGGCTCCGCTTCCATGCGTCAGTCGGCTCTGTGCCTCTTTCACTGTACGCTCGTCTTGGTGTGGAAACTCAGGCCAATAGAAAATCTTTTCAGCAGCCTTTCTGATGCCAAAGGGGACAGGCTGGGACATTACGGCAAATAACTGAGGARCAATCATCGTTTCTAGAGGTTGCGCACAGTTTCCCCAGGAAATCAGGATGAAGACTTGATGCAAACTTTAATGCTGAAAGTTTTAGTTTGTTCAGCTGCATAATATATAGGGATAATTCACTTCTGCAGAGACTTTTTGTTGCCTATAATCTGGGCTTTATTTGCCAGAGAAGATGGTATTTTTTGATCAGAATGTTGTTCTAAAGTATTCTTTCAATCACAATTTATTTATTTGAACATATTCATATTTACTAAGAACATAATCAAATATGTTAGCACTTGTTTCAAAGGAAAGCAAGTGTTGAAGTTGTCTTTACTGTGTTCCTTTTGGAAAGCATCTAGGTTACAAACCTGTTCRRGGGCTGGGGGGARGGACTTTCACTCCAGTCTTGGCACYTTTTTCATCTCTTATTTTCAGCGTGCTTCAGCTTTATTCCTTTTTCTCCTCTCTTTCTGCCTGTCTCCATCTGCAAATCCTGCATTTGTCCTCGCTCCAAAGTTGTTGAACTCACTGTGCTCTGCTCTGTGGTCATCTTTGCTGTATTTTTCTCTTGCCAGTGCTAGAAGCAGAGCTAACATGGAAGTGGCTTAGAAGCTGTGAGAAGTTGCCTTAATTCTCATCAGTTGATTTAGCRGGGATGATTTGGCTCGAGCGAAAAGCAGAAATGAACCATTGAGGTCCTAGCAAAGTTTTTAAATTGTAGACATGATTTGACCCTGGTTAACAGTGATATTCTGGATTTAAGACTTGATGTTTGTAAATAAAATAGTTCCTGTGGCATTTTCAATGTCTAATAAATGCTTGACTGTGTGTGTGTGTGTGTGTGTGTGTGTGTGTATAATGTGAATTGAGTATATTCCTTTCAGCCCAGCCCCTCCCTTTGGTGGAGGAGCCTTTCGGTGCTTGAGTTATTAGTTCCCCCACTTGGACTAACACGTGGGAGGTGAGGATGGTGAGAGCAGCCCTGGTTGTGTATCCAAGGATCCCTAAAGGCCACGAGCCGTCGGCTTTCGCTCCGCGTTTGCTGACCTCTAAATACAACGAGAAGTAAGATAATGCTGGGCTCCAACTTCTCAGTCTTGGGAAGCTCTTTGAAATCTTTATGCAGGCTTTCTTTTGGGCAATTTTCCAGATTTGGGGCATTTTGAGTACCTTGGGGCTCTTTTTCTTTGTGCCTGTGGATTTGSTGCAGCTGAACCAACCAGCTGTGCTCGTCCTGCAGTGTCCTCRGGCTTTGCTGGCTTTGGGCCTGGGATCTGTACACTGACATCTCGAGTATGTGGGTCTTGCTTCTGGTGGCTGCACAGGGATGTCCCAGCCCAGTGCAGCTGTAGGGGATTAACGCTGTGAACAAGGCAATGGGACTGGGTGCCCTAGATGCTGCTGAAGCTGGAAAGGACTTTTCTCCATGAGCTATGGAGAGCGATGTGCTTGCTACCTTTGGGTCTCRAGATTGCGCATCTTCCAAGTCTAGAGCTTAGATTTTTTTCCCAAATGAATGACTAGATGATGCTTTTCAGCATGTGCAGGACAATCATTCTCTTACCTGTATGGCTCTGTGATTCAAATATTAATTTCTTTCTGCAAGGAAAATTGAGATTGAGCAGTTGTGTGATGTAGCAGGGAAGTGCAGCAGCTCTGCCTACCAGTTGTAGCCCATCAGATGTGTCTTTGCCAGGCCCAGAGGTGCCAGCGTGGCCTGTAGTTCAGTCCAGGCAGGCTGTACCCCGGGCAGTCCTAGCGCTGGTGGGGACCGTCTCTGGTGGCTGTGCTCATTATGCCCTGATAGAACTAAATGTGGCCTGGTTTTACTGTCTGAACAAGCTAATTAGTAGAGATCGTGACCGTGACCATCACTGAAGAATTGTAGGTGCTCTTAGCAAAAAGGCGGTGACACGTTTGGGACTCATTGTCCAGGATTATTGCAGTGTGTCTGGGTTATTCTGTGAATAAATGGGAATTATCCCTCGTGTGATGTGTATGTCGCAGAGCAATACTCGGATGAAAGTTGGAGTGYGGATGTTGTTAAAACCTGTGCTTGGAGGTAAAGAGGAGCAGGGCTGTGGGAAAGAAACTAATTTTTTTTTTTTTTTTTGGGGGGGTCAGAAACGAGCTGAGATGATGAAAATCGGTGTCCTCCATGTTTTTAATGTCAGGCTTAGCTAGAGACTTCCCTTTGAGTAACAATTATTGTGCTATCTTAGGCCAGGATCAGTTTGTTTGTGTTAAAAATGTGTATTCCTMATTTTCTTACAGCTCTCATATTATGAATGATTCACACGAGCAGGAAAGTTGACTTCAAGCAACCATTGGAGTTATGTTTAAATAACAACATAAAATTAAAACTTGTCATGCTTTGAGTTTAGCCCATTTTCTTGTTCTGTGTGTTTTAAGTTGACTGTTTAAAGTGTGAAGAACATTATTTTTACGCAGTAGGATGGGAATGTCAGTATAACTAAGCAGCTTGAAATTCCATATTCTTCTGCTCTTCTCGCTTATTCTTGCTCAGGGAGCCTCCTACAGCCCCTTTCCAACTTGGCCTTGCCTGGGTCGGCTCTGGCAGCCTGGCAAGGCCTGTGGCTCATGGTGACGGAATCCGGTTCCTGCACTTGCAGTCACGGAGGCCGCTGGGCCGCTGCAGCTGCCGATGGCCACCGAGGCTGGCTGCGCTGCTTCCTTTGCCCTGCACCACTTCTGCTCGTTTGCTTTGCACTTACTAAACACGTTTCTGCCTTGCATTGCTTGTAGCTCGTTTCCCAGGACCGCCAGTGCGCTGTAGTCGGCAGTCATTCAGCAGGTTGTAGAGGTCAGGCCCCAAACTAGATGCAGCTGATGGCTGGGTCTGGATGTGCTTTGCCTGGGCAGTGCCCTTCTGCTGTCAGGCTTTAATTTCCCTTTTCTGAGAAGGGCCTAAAGAGCATGGCACGAGGGCGTCCCAAGAGCAGGCAATCCCTTGAGAGCGGGAGCAGGCTGAGCGGCAGTCTTGCTGGCATCCCTGATGCATGTGGGTTTGAAATGCCTCGAGAAGAATTAACTATTTCAAGTGAGGTGTGAGGCACGTGGGCAGTCCCAGGCTCGCACAGCTGCGTTGTGCACAAGAATTGGTGAAAGGTGCAGAGGCTGTTTTGTAACACACTGAGGAAAAGCCAATTTCAAGGAGCTAATTAGGGCTTGGGTAGCCCCCGCTGGGGATTCTTCTGCACCAGGAGATACGCTGGCTTCAAGTGGCGGTGATTACGAGTTAGACATTTAGGCTAAATCCAGCTAGATAAAGAGGATCTAGCCTTGTTTTGAGTGTTTAAGAAGATGTTTAACTTCAGACGTGAATGAGAACTTAGTCCAGGTGTTCTTACAGGTGCTGTTTCCCTTTTTTTGGTTCATTCCTTTTAGATGTAAAATTGTAGAGCAAGTTTTACATTAAAAGATAACAGATTTAGCAAGGTGTTTATTACTACACACACAATTTGCCAGTATTATGGAAACTCTGGCTTTTGAGAACACACRGGCTCTTGAAAACACTTTTGAAAACCAATCCCTTGGTAGGGTTTCACGTAAACACAGTTCTGTCACTGTGAGGCAGTTTTTGAAGCAGGCAGAGAATTGTTGCAGTATCTGAGTTAAAAGCTGTTGCAAGGACTTGTATCTTACAGCATCAGAAAGGCAGGAATTCCCAAAAAGAAAATATCTGGGAAGTGGGTTATTTTTACTGAAAGGAGAACAGCTAAGTGGTTTGATGTTAAGGACATAGGGGAACATTACTGCAATCCCTAGTGCGTTTTAAGGGCAGCGTAGAGGATAGAGATTCAGAGGAGGGTGTTGTTCTTGTAATGGTTTTAAAAACTTACCTTGTGTCTCCCCGCTCTCTTGAGCATTAGATTTGTAACTTTAAAGGATTTGGGGCAAGTTTGTGTTTTGTTAGGTATCCCAGTATGTATTTATTTAGTTCCTTTATTTAGCAGGTAGGAGCGGGTCAGGGTGGGCACCCTCTGCTGGCAGCATTGCCCTTTTGGTCTCCAGCAGCCAGTCCGCGTGCCAGGGAACATCCAATCCATCGGAGCTGGAGATGCCCTAGTAAAGCTCTAGCTGGTGATCAGGGCTGTATTTCTAATAAGGGCTGAATTATCCTAGAGTATATTCACCAAAGGCCTTTTTCTAATATTACTGCTTGCTCCTTTTAGCCTTCTGCTTTCCTGTATCTGTCACTAATCCAGCTCRGCGCTGCTGAGAGCAGCCACTGTGGTCGGGGGGCTTGCAGGGCCACGTGGGCACACGGACCGGCGCCTCGTGGGGGCAGAGGTTTGGCCTCCTGCTCCACGGTAGTCAAGGCTGCAGTGACCAATTCCGCGTGTGCGGCGTGTTTGGAGCCAAGTGCTCTCGTCCTTGGGATGCAGCCGGAGTTCTGCTGAAAGGGGATACTCGCTTTTATTTAAGAGGAATGAATACGGCGTGCTTCAAACGGTGTTGCAGTGACGGTCCCGGCAGACATTATTTCTCAAGGTTAATAGGCTGATGCTTTGCATTTTTCATTTTGATTTGTCCCAGCATTTTCCTTTATGGTCCATCATTAGATATTGATCAGTTGAAGCTCATTTTGAGACTCGTTGGAACCCCAGGGCCTGAGCTTTTGAAGAAAATCTCCTCAGAGTCTGTGAGTTTACATTTTGATTGTAATTCCTGCTCTCTTGGCCTCCGGGTTTGTGTGTTGCCCTCTGCAGTCTCTCCCTAGTGTGTTGTGGATTGATTTGCTGTTTTTCCTCCTTTTGTCGTTCCTCACACCTAGATGTCTTTGAGTCCATACACTGAGTATTATCTGATCTTTAACCCCCTTAACTTTGCCTGTGGTCTGATTTCTTCCTCCCATATTCTCATGTTGCTGCTTTGATTTTTCTTTCAGTTTGTGAGTTTTTACTTCATGATATATTAGCTCATCAGATGCTCCTGGGAAAGCATTTTTTCCCAACTAAGAGCTTGAGACTTGTCTCAATTATTACTTCTGCAGATTGCCTACCCAGAAATCTTCCTGATGAGGGAAATTCAACAGCAGAAAGTGTGTCATCCTCCAAACATGCACGGTCCGTGCTTGACATCCATGTATGATTATGTCCTGAAATGCCATTGCCACCGTATTTGGGGTTGTGCTGTAAAATCCCAGATGCCCTTTTGGTGCTCTTTGGCAGACGCCTTCTCGCAAGGCACACAATATAGAGTCTGCCATATACATCATCTATACATCAGCAATCAGGCCATGCATTTAAAGGTTGCTGTTGTGCGGGGCCTTTTTAGCAGGATAACTGCAGCGAATCCTTTTGCGAGGGCGACCCCCTTCAGCCCAGCCATCTTTTCTGTGCTGCTTGAGTTGCTCCTGGGTTGTTGTCTTGGGGAGGTGTTAGAGGGCAGTTAGCTTTGCATGGCAGGGAGGTGCAGAGGAAGGAGGGGTCCCGAGGGACCCGTGACGGGACAGATGAACAAGTCGGTGCGGAGCAAGCAGTGAACATGCCTAGAGGTCCCTAGCAGGACATCCCAACCTGCCCTTGCTGCTCAGTGCTACATGATCAGTGCAGTGCAAACTGGTGTGGAGATTCTCTCCTGCAGCTTGTAATGTTTCTTGTGTCGTAGTGGTGGTAAGTGCAAAACCCCAGGGTAGCCAGAGCTTGCCGGGCGAATTGGTGAAGTTGCTGGATATCATTCCAGGSTAAAAAGCACTGGGATATCTCTAGGAAGAGTGGAGCTGAGTAAAGCAGGTGGCTCAAGGCATCTGAGAACTAACCTTACCGGACTCCGATGAAGGGTATTTGGTATTTGAAGTACAGGGGGRCCAAGCCTTAAAGTTTAACCAGGTTAAACACCAGATGGGTTTGCACATGCTTGGGCAATAAAAAGAATTATTTTTAGTCAAGTCTGTGTCAAGAGTCTGCTTTAAAACAATACAATAAGGTACTGTTTCTGTTTTATCTTTGTTCTATGAGGACAGCAAATCTGCTAAGTATTCAGGAGGCTTTAGGGTGGCACTGTAGTGAGTTCTGCATTTGTGTTTTTCTCTGCATCAGTTTCCTTGCTCTTATTTTCTCTGTCCTGTTCACTGACATCAACTAACTCTGTCTTATGCAATGCTAATGTTATCTAATTTTGCATTTATAGCCTTCTTTCACCTCGCCCACCTATCAGAGCACATTCATGGCTGTGTAGAGGGGCTGTCACTTGTGAGCTGATTTCACTTTCCACTATAAGGAGCTTAAGAACTTACTACACAGCAAGAAAAAGAAAGATGTTTTAACCAGGGCAGAGGGAAGATTTTTTGTCACTCRTTTTCCTAGGTTGTCTGTGGCTGCAGCAGCCTAGGAAAACTTTTGAGTAGCTTCAGCCGGAGGCCCATGGCTGAAAGTGCTGGGCGATGGGGAGGGCTCCTGCCGCAAGGCTGCGGGGCAGGCAGAAACGCTGCCCRTCAGTCCTGCTGCTGCTCGCACGTGGTTGCACGTGACCCGTAATTTCAGTGTTCCCTTCGTACAAGTATTCGACAAAAGACCCAGCCTGTGTGGTCCGTGCCTTGGAGTTTGCAGAGGAGATGCTTTGTATGCAGCTGTTTTCTGTTTGAAATGGTGTTTTGCACTGTTTTTAACAAAGCCCTTGACTAGGCACTTAAGATATTAACCAGCTTCAGCAGATCATGCGTCTGACGGGGACCCCCCCTGCTTATCTCATTAACAGGATGCCCAGCCATGAGGTGAGACCTGGGCAGAGGGGGGAGCCGTGCAGGTCGTCACCTCCCGAGCTCGCTGCCGCTGCAAACAGAGCGCTCGCATGTGACCTGGGGGGTGGCATTAACTGCCTGCTGCCCAGCTGCACGTTTGGGCAGCGCAGACTCGGCCYTGAGGCACAAGGGAATGTGGAGGCGAGTCGGGGTGCACCGTGTGGGTGGCTTAGCCCGACTCCCCTGGGCACGGAGCCCTGYGCCGGCCTCGGCTCCGGCAGCTCCTGCCACTGCTCCGGGGCTCTGCGTCTGCAGCTTTGGGCTTGCATGAGCTTCAGGCCACGTGAGCCCTTCCTTTGCTATCTTTGGTGCCTCTGCTTGAGGAACAGGTAACGTGAGTGGGCTTAGTACTCACCAGGAGAGCAAATTAAAACGACAGGCCCCATGCAGCCAGCGCATCCTTCAGGAGGAATGATGTGAGCTCTGTCTTGGTGGCTGGGTGATATTGTAGCTCAACAGAATATTTGTTTCCACAGGCAAGAAACTACATTCAGTCTTTGACTTATATGCCGAAAATGAACTTTGAAAATGTGTTTATTGGTGCCAATCCGCTAGGTAAGGCTTGTGTTTTGCATTTTGGGCTCTTCCTGGCATTCGTAGTCTTGCACGTTGTTGATGAGCTTGAACTTGGCATGCCTTGGGATACCGAGACTTTTCTMGAGCTTTATTTTGACTGCAAAAGTAGTTTGGAAAGGAGATATGGGTCCTTTTGAGAGTGTGAGAAGTATATGGTATACAGGATTACATATATAGGATATGTTAGAAAGGATTTGAGGGAAAGAAGTTAGGGATGGTGAGTACCTGAAAAACCACAGTTTCCTCATATATATTGGGCTTTTGTAAACTTAATTTCAATGTAAAAAGCCACGCGGCTCCCTGGCTAAAATCCTGTCCCTTTCTCTTGGGGCTTTTGCAGCCGTGGACTTGCTGGAGAAGATGCTGGTGCTGGATACAGACAAGCGGATCACGGCGGCGGAAGCTCTGGCTCACGCCTACTTTGCGCAGTATCACGACCCTGACGACGAACCCGTGGCAGATCCCTACGATCAGTCCTTTGAAAGYAGAGAGCTGGAGATTGAGGAGTGGAAAAGTGAGTCTTGGGGGCAGGGGGCAGTGCCAGCCTCGTCCTCTGGTGGCACCTGCTGTAAGTTACAGCTGACCAAAAGAAACTGATGAAAAAGTCATTGCAAAGTCCTTGTACGGAGTGAATTTATTTCATGATGTTTACACAGTTGCCATAATCCATGGTGACTAATTATTATTAGCATCCAGACATGGAGATAACACAGTTGCTCGTATAGTTTCAAACTTAAATGTCCTTATGGCTCTGGAGGTATCTTTTGTTACGTAGGTTAATCTCTGAGGTGATATATTCTGCTTTTCTTCTAAATTAAATCGTATTTTCCTTGAAACATATTGCTAGGAAGACTTTTTTAAGATGACTGCACTTCTTTTTTGCACATGAGATAAATCTTTAATACAGCACCAAGTTTTTGTTCCTTTCCCGCCAGGCCTGACTTAYGATGAAGTGATAAGCTTCATACCACCACCGCTCGACCAGGAGGAGATGGAGTCCTGAGGAAGCGTGTGCTCCCGTTYGTCCCACGTCACTGTGAGGGGAAGGCCTTTCCGCGGGGACTCTCCGACTGTCCAAGTGCCTGTCACAACGATATTCTCCTTGGTGGAGGGGTTTTGTGTGTGTTGAAGGGGGGGAGGGAGGGAGCTGACTCTCTGTATCCATGCTGCATGCTCTCGTGTATTCCGTGTCCAGCCCGGGCTGAGCCTGCAAACCCCTGTCCCGGCTGCGCTGGGCTCCTTGCGCGTGCCCGCGGGCAGCCCGTTTGCCAGGCCGGGCAGGCAGGGCGGCGCTGCAGCTGTGGCCGCCGCCGGTTGGGCCATCTGCCCGTACGTAACCTCGCAGGTACGGAGCAAAGAGGGGCTTCGCTCTCCGAGTGCTCCGCTTTGTTGGGGACTGAAGGGGAGGTTGAGGGGCGTCCTCGTGCCGCTCCAGGGGGCTGATTTTCATCCGGATTTTCCTGGTGCCATGTACAGCAGAATGTACAGGCCTCCTGATGACTGTCTCAGAACAGGAGCAGGGGTTGGTAGAAATTGTAAATATGTTTGTGCCTTAAACCAATAGGGAAAGAGGGGAAAGGAAGTCTAGGGTGGAATGCGACCCTGCTGTCTTCAGGGGAAAAGGCTCCGAGGTAGCCAGGCAGGAACACTATGTCACCAGGAAACAGCCTTCCGAGCGTCTCTTCCTGGATTGGGGATTGCCCTAGTTCTCCCTCTTCCCCTCCTTTCATTCTGAGGCTTCCCAGCGCTAGTTCCCAGGAAAGAGAGCCTGGGGAAGGTTCTTGCTAGCCACCTGTTTGTGTATTTTGTTCTTTAAGAGGTGAGGTGTTTTTGCATGTCATAGCTGTATGTGCATGTAGAGCAGCTAGGTTCTTGTTTTCCTTTTTGGGGATGGCACTGGGGCAGTTAAATCATCAGTGAGCGTTTTTACGGAGTACCTCAGCCAGTGCCATGAGATCCCAATATCCTCCCTCTTGTGCTGCAGCTCGCTGTGAAATTCCTGCCATTCGGAGGGCTTGGACGTGGAAAGGACAGAATGTACAGCATAGAAACAGGCACCTTTTTCTTCATCCCGGTCTTACGGTTTCGGAGAAGGAGACTGGGATGGAAGCCTTTTGTGAGATCAAATATAAAAAAAAATGTTCTGCAAGGAAACAAAAGAAACAATTGGCATATTGTGCTGGAATCTAAGTTATTTCCTGAAAAGATTTTTTTTAAATAAAGGACATGTTGGAATCCAAAGTAAAGAAATAGGCACGCATAAAACCACAATCCCTTTCACTGTCTAAATCTATAAATACATATATATACAGATAAATATATATATATATGTATATAAAAGTAAGAATAGTATTATACTAGATGGTCTTTTACCCTCTCGGACAAGAGCTGCTTGGCTGCTTTCTAGCAGGTTGATCTCTGCCTGAGGAGTGGGAGAAGGGAGTATGTTTGAATCCAATAAAGCTTCAAATATTCTGGTTTTTACAGGACTCTGAACGAAATGCCCGTAATTAGAGACTGGCAGGAGGGAGGGGTTTTCAGCATTTTTTGTTGTTGTTGCTTTGTGTTAAAATTGTACCTGGGGAGCACAAGAGCCCAATTTCAGCACTTGGGGAGACGACATGTTTAGATGTTCATCTAAGGGGCCTCCCGTGTGGCCTGCGTACCCGTGTACGTGAGGAGAAGGCTTTGCAGTATTCCGTGTCCTCGTAACTTGCGGGACGGAGACAAACAGTGTGTAGCGTCTTCTGCCCTGTGTTTGAAGAGGCAGCGCAAAGGGATGGACGTGAATAAAGAAGCCATCAATTCTTCCTAGGCCGCTTTCCAGCGGTCTCGTCAGGTCAGATGTTTGGGGTGAGGGGAGGGAGCAGTTGCTAGAGCTCTCCCCAGACCACCAGAATCAAGACAGGAAACCTTCCCTTTCTGCTGGACTGGCAGTCCATGTATTCAAAGGAAAATGTAGATATTCTCTGTAAACCTACCACAAGATTATTTTTATCAGCCGTTTTATGTGTAGATGCTACGGTGTGATTTCATGCGGAAATACTGCTAAACATTTTTAAAAATATAGACATTGTGGGTGCGTGCGTGTGTGTGTGAGTGGGAATGTTTCATTGGAAGTCTGTACTCCTGCACTCCCTGCCTTCGGTGCGGTGCTGGTCAGCTGCCTGCGGCTGCACAGGAGGATGTACTGCAGAGAAGAGATCTGCTCTGTTGTTTCTATCCATGAATTTTGCTGTAATTGGTTATGCCAGATAAGATGTCACGATACCACTGGTTTAAAAATAAAACCTATTTTTCAGATTTACTGGGCTGATGGTGCTTACAAACCCCTCATGCTAAACGCTTCAGTGGAAAAGTTGGTTGGAAAGGTACTTAGGGGAGCGAGAGGCTTCTCGGAGCAATCGGGCGTGACTCTGCAGTGGATTTTAAATTCCTCTTGAGTATCTGTGCCGCTTATCAGCAATCAGAGGAAAGGATGCCGCTTAAAAGCAATCAGAGGAAGGATGGAATAAAGCGGAGTTCTGACCCAAATTAGACGGCCAAAATCTACAATTTCTGCTTTTGTCTGTCACGAAGCTGCACAGCAGCTCACCTGAACAGCCAGGAAGATTCTTCTTTTATTATTTTTCTTGATTGCTTTCTGTTTTTTTTCAACTCTGTTCACTATGGTACAAATCAAGAAGGGAGGAAAAACCTCTAAGCAAGACATGATAATCATTGTTTTCTGGGCAGAAAAAGCAAACCAAAAAACCCCAAGGTGTAATTCCTGAACGTGCTCACTTGTAATACTATCCCGAGTAGTGAAAAATGCTAAATTTGGAGAGCATCAAACTGAAAAACAGTAAATTACAACAACAAAAACTATTATCTCAAAATCCTTCAGGTTTTCTAGTTGATCTTAAATGAAGGGACAGGCTCATGGTATCACTGCCAACGCCTGTCCTAGGTATTTCTAGCTGCTCAGCTGAGCACTGATGAGCTGTGTGCGTGCGCACAGCTAGCTGAGCGAGCAGGTGTGTGTTGAGCAAACACACAGCTCATTTGTAATTTTATTTACGAGCAGTTTTTGCTGTAATACCCCTTGCTCACGGGTATATTTATAGAACCAAACAAATATGTTGTTTATTCCCTCACTGTCCTATTGCTGTAGCCAGGGTGGGGTTTGTTTACATCTGCACATGCAAATTGAAAACTTCAACAGCACCGTATCCCTGATTTCATTTCACCTGMAGCAGAAGCCCTTACCATTGCAGCTTCAAGAGCCAGGTATGCTGCAGCAGTCGCCTGCGCCCAGGTAAAACAGTTGATCTTCAAAAGTGACGGCTGCATTTTCTGTCTTGCACTTGCCAGCTGCGTAGGCTCTAATCTTGCCCTACAGATGACCACCCTAAAAGGGGTGGTTTAAGGATCCCTGCTTAGTAGGGGCCATAAGCAGGAGTGAGGGCTGGGGGTGTGAAGCAGAGCTGGTCGGGCTCATTAAGATACCACTTAGTCACTTCCTTTGGAAAACACGTGGATATGTGGAGTGCAACACCTCATTCTTGTGCAGCCTGAGCAAAACCCGGGAGTGCCTCCTGCTGCCCGGGGAGGGGTGGCCTCAAGTGGGCCCTGGGTTTGCTGCCCTGCCTGGTAGCAGGRCGCAGAGCAGGAAACTTGGAAACTTGTCCTTCTGTGCTGTCCCCGGGAAGAGTGGCACCTGCTGTGGGAGACGGCCCTGGCACCGTTTTACTCGGAGCTTCCGTGTTCCAGCAGCTGCAGAGCCGCCCCGTGACCAGGGCAGCCTCCCTCTGCTCTGCTGGGACGCCTGGCCAGGAACTTGGTAGAAAGTCRCCATAACCTGCTGAAGAGCAAGGAAGTTATCCCTGCACACGGCCCCGGCGTTCCTTGTCCAGAGCCCGCCGGAGGCCTCGGGAGCCGCGCGGCCCGTCCTGCCGCGCAGCTGCTGCGGTTCGTGCTCGGCATCGCTTGGGCTCCGGGGCTCCCTGCTCAGCTGCTCATTCCGAGCGGGGATTTGTTGGGATCACCGCTTGGCCCACGAAGACGTTTCCGGGAGCTGGGCCCGGGCTCTGCAGGTGCCAGCAGGCTCGGTGGCTGGGACTGCCCCGCGTCCCCGGCAGGAGGAGTGTTGTCACCTACAGGAGACTCCAGAGGTACCTGTGAAAGGTCGAGGCGGATCCGCGTGGAAACCTGATGCCTCCTCCCTGCTGCTGCGGAGGCGGGGGGAGGAGGAGGACCGGCAGACATGTCCCTTCGTGCTCACAGCAGCTGAGGCCGCACGAGGAAGCGAGCCAGAGCCTGACGTATTTCTAGGTGCGCGAAAGGCCCTGGGGTCCCYGTCTGCCCCAGAAGCCCGGCTGAATTTCGGTACTCTGGGGGGGCGTCACTCCCGCACCCGCCAGGCGATGAACATCACGCGGAGAAGAGGATTTCACAGGCAAGAAGTGAACAAAACTGTCTGGGAGCTGCCCAGGAGATACACGTCCGTCCATCACGTGGGCTCTGGGGCCTACGGCTCGGTGTGGTGAGTGAGGGCCCCGCGGGGGCAAGGGCGGCCAGGCGCACGAGGGGGAAGCCATTAAACACGAGGGGGTTTCCATTAAGTGTTTGAGTGACAGAGCTGGTTTGTGTACTGCCACCCCTGGTCCCTGGTGCGAGCGGCAGGTTGTGCGTTAGGGACATTATGGTTGTGCACTATGCATTATGTGCATTATGGTTGCTTGAAGAAATCGGTATTTGCTCCTGCCTGAGGTAGGGGGAGAAGGAGGAGTCTGGTGTCTTTGCCGAGCTCTCCTGTTCCTCTGTGCCTGAAGGGGATGGGAGGGTGACAGTGGCACCAGCTGCCGCAGGACTCCCTGGTGACACTGTCGTGACTTGGGGGGCTGCGGAGCCCCCAGGGCTACTTCAGTGTCCAGACTCGGCAAAGGGAGCAGTTTGTCAGTCTGTCAGCCATGAAAAAAACCTGAAATAGTAGAAAAGAGCTGCTGAATAGTGGGAACGCCCTTCCCAGCACGCTTTCAATGACACCTTACACAGACAGTAGTTACTGCTGGTCTAAGACAATTTGCCAACTATTCGGGGGGRAAACTTGGTCAATACAGCTCTTGTTACCACTTCCAGCATGGATTCATGAAGTAGATATAATTTATGTTAAACCAGRGTCGAGTAAGAGGCTGGAGCTCCTGGCAGGTGGGTGACAGCCCCCCCAGCACAAGGGTCCCTCAGCTGGGTCTGGCTTTGTGGTGTCCTGGTAAAGCCAGGGCAATTCTGCTGACTCGGAGAAGCGGCAGTTGTGGAGCTGCCTGTTGATGGTATCGGAGCTCCAGAACGTAGCACCGGGACATGGCACACGGGGCTCCAAAGCAGCGTGTCCTTTCCCAGCTCCTCTGCAAAGAATCTGCCGCTGCGGGAGCCTCCAGCCCCGGGGCCTAAGGTCGGCCTTTGTGCCCACTGTCCTCATGTATCTTCAATTTCTGCTGCGCTTTTAACAGGCGAGGTGTTTCGGAGACACTTAAATGAGTCCAGCAAGATCGGGAAGGAATAAACTTGTTGCTTTTGATACATGTGCTGGGTTTTTATATTAAAAAATAAAGCTAAATGGGAAGGCTAAAAAGGAAAGGAGAAAAGATGGAGAAGACATAAATGTGAAGCAAAATCCCAGTGTTCTTTACACGCTAGGAAAAGCTAAACAGAGCAGATCTTGTCCTGGCGCTGTGAGGCTCCGGGCTGCCCTGGGGGGCTCGGGGGCTGCGCTGGGAGCACGCCGGAGCGCGGGGACAATGTGTGTCCCCCCTCCGGGGCGGTGGGAAGCTCCTCACCGACCGCCTTAGAGTCAAGCGGCTGTCGCGAGTTCTTGAGGGGTCCAGAGCAGCAGCGGAACAGCCTCTTCTGGGAGGAGTTCCCTGGATCCCCTCAGTTATTATGCCGTCCGCAGCAGCCTGGCTTCTGGCYGGGTGTAGCTGTTAAGGCTTCTCACATGGCGCATGTTGGCAGCCTCAGTCAGCAGCGCCCACGACCGCGCTCGGGGCCCTGCTCTGCTCCGGGCGCCAGGGCTGCCGCGCGGTCCCCACTGCAGGCCTGTGTGCAGCCGGCATCGCCCCAGCTCCATGGCGGCCTCCGCAGCGGCCGGTGCTTCCAGCTGCTCCTTCCGCCCGGGAAGACATGGTGGGAGCTCCCTGCTTGTGCCACTGCGTGCACTCCTGGCTGTGCCTTGTGGTGAGGGTGAAGGGGCCGCGTTTGTGCCGGGCAGGCCGAGGCGGCAGCACCCAGTGTCGCCCCTGTTGACAGGCTGTTGAGTGGTGGTGGTAGCGATTTGCCTCACAGGCCAGGAGCTGGGGAGGGAGGCACAATGCGCAGGGAGGCTGGCGGGGGCTGCTGCAGGCTGCAGAAGCACTTTGATTCCTTTCCCTGCGTTTCCCTGCTGCTCTCCCTGCTGCTGGCACTTGCTGGGGTCCTGCTGAAACAGAGAAGCCTTCCCGCTGCTCGTGGGATGTGCTCATGTCAGCCCTTCAGCTCTCTCTGCTCCAGCTATTCCAGCGCTCCTTGGCTTTCCTGCCAGCTGGCMGCTTTAGCGATGTCCCCTCGCGCAGTCAAAGGCCTCGTCGCGCTCCTCRCGCTCTCTTTAGAGCAGCCGTAAGGGACCTCAGTGACTAGAACCAGTGGGATTATCTGACAGCATCGGAGATGCTGCTCGCAGGGTGAGAGCTCTTGCGGGGCCGGATTCCGAAAAACATTGACTGCTTGTGGCTACCGGCTGCTTAACAGGCTGGCTGCAAGGAAGGGAACCTCTTTTAATCAGTACCCCACGTAGACCGCTGTGCTCAGCAGGAAGTTCCAGCCCGTCCTGAGCYCAGTGAAACGCTCTGCTGGACTCCGGGCAGCCTGTGGTGTTAAAACCTGCTGTTTTCCTATTTATTTCGCTTATGGAGGCAGAGGAAGGGTGTCTGAAAAACAAGAYGTAAGATGGAGACAATGCTGCCTTACACAGGATTTCTGACAGCGCATTAGCAATATGAATAAATGCTTTGACCTTGAGCATCTCAAGGTACTGATATTGCTCTCCCCCTGTCTGACAGGACAGCACCAA